GTCCATATTTGTTTGTTTTCTTTAAGTGTTGTCTGGTCCACTATTGTCAGTCAAAATATTTTCCATAGTCCACCGAAACAACAAATGCAAACATACTTTAAATCCTTTTCAAAACAGAAGGCCAAAAAATGAATGAGAACATTTGAGGTTACTTTCAATGGACAAAATGCACATTTATATGTGTTATGTTTCTAAAATTTGACTGGGTTAAGTCTTCCATGTGAATGAACATCAAAGAAAGTCCCCATTAAAAGTGAATATATTTATATTAAGATAGAATAAAACACCTCAGCAGGTACCGAGCCCAATGGAGCATATTGTTGAATGAGAGTTTCAAGTTAGGAATTCACACCTGTTTTCATACAATCTCGTACTGCGACACTTGACTTCTCATTTCTAAGGTGGCAATAACTTGACTCTCGAGCCTTGGGGTGGATTTCACCTTGATTTCATCGCTCGAGCAAAAAAACAATTTTGGAAACTCCCCCTTTATTAATCAGGTAGTTGAAGTCAACCTTTGCTTCCATGACCTCATTTTTATTTACAGCTATCTCAGTTTACTGAATGTTCATCAATTCTTTGTCATGAATTGAACAAATGGAAGAATAAATTCAATGCCTTATTTTTCCTTTCGAATTACAATTAAGAATTAATCACAATTAATCTGATTAACAGGACAAGATTACATTTACTAAACTGACCAATAGAACTCTGCTGGATTGCTTCATCTGTATCAATTGATTCATCATTAAGATCATCATATCTCTCTGCTCTATTGATAACTTAAGAATTGTTAATCCTTCCTCTTGAGATGCTTCCTTCTTTATATTTACTCAAGCTCAAAAGCTATTTTGTTTTATGTAGAACAGGATTAGTTTTATTTGTATGCCATTTACTTGTAACCTGGCTTGTTGTCTTTGTCATTTAGAAGATCAACTGGCTTGTTGTCTTTGTCATTTAGAAGATCAACAATGTTCAATTCTCATTGACAGTAGCAATTTGATTAATTTCACTTTTACATTCACTTTATGGATGCACTAGAAATCACAAATCAAAACAGCTCAAAACTGCCTAAATCCCTATAAGTCATCAGATTCATATCAAACTCCCATTTCTTATAGAAATCTTGATATTCATGACTGAAGCAAATACACAGTATGGACAGAAGGAATATATTTCTAAATTTATTCATGAATGAAATTAGGTAGGTAGATGTGCATGAATTAGGAATTGCATATTATTTACACCAGATCATTATTTAAGATGTGATGGTTAGGCTGCCATATGTAGTTCTATATATTTCCTTTATCTAAGTGTATTTTAATTCTTCTGGGAAATTTTCCATTTTGACACTAGCACTTACACTCATAGCATCATCAATGACATCACCCCATCAACCCCATGCCAAATTATTGTTGGCTTTCAATTTTGTAATATTGACTTTGATGTTAATACCATCTTCATTATCATCTTCTGCAGTTCAAGTCTATCATGATTTGTCACTCAAATCGTCCTCAAAGGACTCCCTTGTGGATACTTCAGATTCTTTAGTTGTGATTATCGTTAATTTGATTATGGACAATCAGTAGCTTAATTAAGAATGCGATTGAGTTGATTAAAATGAGATAATGATATTAATATTGGACAATAATTTACAGTTTAAGAACATCCACCAGGAAATGCTCTTAATGGTCATAGTAGGTCTGTATAGGGGCAATAATGAGTGGTTATATTGATGAATAAAACTATTTGGATTATCATGTTTCGAAGGATTGATCCCAAGGTTGAGCTTTTCAAGTGTTTTTCTTTGTGGGAGCTTGCTAAAAAGGAATATAACCAAGGTTGCATATTGGAATGACCACTTTCCTATAAGCATGCCCACTCAAAGCAAGAATTGAATATCCATTTACATCTTGGATATGTCATATATTACGATAAAAGAATCAAGGAAATATATCCATTTGTGTGGCAAGCTGGTTTGAAACATTGCACTGTTTTTTCTGATTTTGAGACATTTTTGTACTATTGTAATTTGGTTTGAGACAATTCATTGGTCTGAGACCAGTCATATTATACTGTTGTATTTAAAAAGTCTCCAGTTGCTGAATAATGTTTAAACCCAAGGTATGAATTTAAAATGGCTGAAGTAGGTGGCTAATTAAATGAATGATATTCCTATACATGTTTACAGCATATAATACTTTATGAAATATAAGATTTCATTATGTGAGAAAAGAACTGTGTACAAAATATGTCAAAAGCAGGATGTTTATCCTTAGTCAATATATGCTTATTTTATACAAGGATATATTTTATACCAAATAAATATTGTAATATAACATTAGATAATTTACAAAAATAGCTCCTCGGGTTAATTCGGAAGAAAACCTTGTCAATTTAGTCACCTACTGAACCCATCTTTATGCTTGAAATGTGCATTCATTTAGGTAGGTAAAATATACAGTTCAGTATTTAATATAGGTTCTAACATTACAACAATTTGAAGTGCATAGAAACGCAACGGCCATAGCGACATTGAGGTTAAGTGTATATTGCGTGTCTAATAACTGTATTTTGCTTTATAAATGATATTCTTATGCTAATGATTGTATTTCTTATTGATCTCATATGTGTTATTGTGTATTGAATTCAACATAAGGCATCTCAATATTAAATCCTTTATCTTACAATGGATCTTATATTGCGGGTAAATACACCTGATAAAAAATTGATTATATTTCTGGTTAATAAAAACTACTTCAACATGATATGATACTTTCATATAAAATATTTATAAGATCAAGTAGAATTGATGCAAATAGCGCACCATGTTGCTGTATATTATGACTGTTGAAAACATTGGTAAACTTTGTACTAAAAAGGTATAACTTCAGAAAGACAACAATAAAAAGACCAATAAATCATATGAACAATATTTAAAATATATTTTTACTCAATAACACCCTCATCAAGTTTATATAATAAACAACCGTGTATTAAATATTTGTAGATCGCATGTAATAACTTGACAAATCCCTATAAACAATACAAAGAGAATTTCAATATTTTCAGGATTGTTCGAAATCAAGCAGCAGAGAAGGCAAAACAGACTGGTCAGAGCCCTAACCCTGTGATCTCTCAGTCACCAACAGGCCCCACCCAGGGGCAAGGGGGTTACAGCATTAACGGGATCTTGGGCATACCTAGTAGTGTCAATCAGGGGGTGCCAATGCCCAACCCAGTTGACCCCACAGGCAACAAAAGGAAACGAGATGATGGGGGTGAGTTGATGAATACTTCTAAATACCAATGTTTCCCTACAGTTCTTTTTGACAATCTGAAGTGAACTATGAATGAAGAGATAAAATCAAATGGGTATTGTGAGCTTTATTTATCACTAAATGCCTACAACCCAGACTCTTACTATACAAAGGATCCTAGAAACAAATGCATTTAACAATAAACAAAAATGCATGAATTTTCAAGCCTCTATACTCAAAAAGGAAAACACAGTACAATAACTAGAATGACATGATCTCTTATTTGTACGACAATTTTACAATGGTATAAAGTGAGTATAAATCCTAACTTCATTAAACACTAAGTGAGATTTTTTCAGTATAATATGCAACAATAAAATTGTCTTACATGCAAATAATACCATTAGCGCAAATTGAAACGTCAACTGCAACGTCGCTATTTTTCATCAATAAACCTATTTGACATAACGTTGAGCAGGTACAATGTATTACTTGTATGACTCGAAATGTCAAATGTCACAGAGGGAGAATTACATAAAAATTAAGAGATATGCAGTTGAATGTAGACAACATTAAATTGTATATAATTAGAAACATCACAAAATTAGAAACCTCAAATTTTGAGAAAATTTGTATGAATAAACATTTCTAAATTTTCGAATTGGACTTTTTGTATTTTCTGGCACTTTCAATTAGAAATCATAGTGTATTCTCCGATCAGCTTTATTGTAATAACATAAAACAATTATTCACAACGAATGAATTAATCTGTAGATTGATAGCATTTCATTAAAGCCAACTCCCAAGGTATTTCTAAACTACATTATGGTAGTATGTATAAAACACAACTCCCCTTCCCCAAATAATTTCTCCAGTCACTGCTTTTTACACCGTTTCTCTCTACGATCTGAATGAAATTGCTGATTTTCTGGTATGGCCATACAATTTAGAGTCTAAACCTTGTGCATTTCTTTCCATTCCTTATGAATTTCTCATTTTCTTGATGTATTTTCAATTAAAAAATGAGTATGATGTCATGTTTTTCCTAGGATGTCACATTGCATCACTATTGCTTATAACAATTGGTAATTGGGACTTTATACACTCATTTCCAACTTCATAAAATATTCACAAAGTGTTTTTTTATATTGTTGTATCAGACAATGGGAGAATCTGTTAGGTGTCAATATAGGTCTGATATTGACACACATAAGGCACTTAGTTTCATTAAATAGATAACACTTAATAAATTACAGAAAATAAGTTTATTACTACACAAAAAATGTCACTAGATTATGAATATACATGATGGTCCTTATGAGACAATTTTGAATAAACCTTCGATAAATTCTTATGGGTCTACAAATCGAGAAGTGAACTGGGAAAAGTGATTTGGATCTATATACATAACATATGTTTTCTCTAAAGTGCATTTATTATAGCAAAAAAATATTATCTGTTAATACTGCTACTTGGTCCAATTGGAGCGTGCGGAGAAAAATGTACTGCTCTTAGTGGGCTCTCTAAAAAAGAGACTGATTTGATAAATATTGCTTTCAGGCACAGTTGCTTGAAGCTATTGTTCACGTTTCCTCATGAAGCTACTTCATTCTTCAATAATATCAAATGACACTGTTTCTTGAATAGATACATTCATCTTTGTTTCGTCTGAATTTCCTTTCATAATTTTACTCTAGAAAATATGGCTGCATGGTGATTCCAAGATGGTTTTAAAATTACTATTCAATTTTGGTTTTATTCTTCAAATGTCCGAGTATTATCCTTATTGAAATTTGATCAATTAAACAAAAATCGAGTGGGAAGGCTTTTAACTATCACATGCAGTAATACATTGCTTCCTTTAGCAAATACCAGATAATTTTTTGCCTCATAATTATCGTATAAAAAATAAACGTTAATAATGATGAGTTGGTGAGATAAAAAATAAACAGATAATTTAAAACTAATGTTCTCTTAAAGCAACATAAATTGTCATTTTTATGAAAGTGTTTTTAAAAAGCACACACATGCAAATACCAACTTTTATTTAGCTTTTATTTGTGGAGGTCATGAGTCAAGTGACATCTCCTCCATTTTGTGGCATACCCCAAACACAGAATTTACGTCTGCTTTTCACTTATTTCTTAAATAACTCTCTAAAATTTGAATAAAGTATCAAATTTTCTTACATTTCTATACAATTTGAAATGTTATCTAAACATCTATCTGCTTATTTTTCTGTTTATTTCATTATATTTTTCTATATTTTGCATTTGAAAATGAGACCGTCTGCAATATCATATTCAGGTGTATACTCAAATAAATGCTCACACAAATCACTGGTGAATTAACATATGAAACAAGCCTGCTCATACCTAAACTAAACAGTATTCATATTATTGGAGATTTAAAAATTCTTTTATACTCCTATTTTGTACAAAATTGTAATAGATTCAAAATAAACTGTTTTAGACAAAATGATTTTAAACCTCAACTTCAAAGAAATAAGCAAAACTTGAATGAAACCCACTCCAGTATTGTTACATTTTTAGTGACAAGAGATTTCTATTTGGAAAGGTCTATAGACCAAAAAGAGAAATATGGAAAGGTTAATTTATCCAATTCCAATCATAACCTCCTAGATTAATCACAAAGTCTCCAGTCCATCATTCTAGCTCCTGCCATAATTTAACTGGAGTAATTTCTATAAATGTCAGTCGAAATAACTCATAGAACCTCAAGATGGGAATATTTCAAAGCGACTCAATTTTTGATGATCAATTTTACCAATAGCTTCTCTGTAACTGGCAATAAAATGTTTGGAAATTGCTGGTTTGACAGCTCCTTGTGAGTGTGTTGGGGAGATAGCAATTGATGGATGTTAGGCCTGTAAATAAAATTAAATGGTCATGGTTTAAAACAGAAGTTACACTTAAAAGAATTTGGAATAACACAAAACAAAATATTCTTGGACATAAACAAAACTCTGTTTTGTATAAAAATGCTAAAATGTGAAACACTTTATCCAAATTTTAAAGAGATATTTTGATTTATTAACATGATCACATAAATGATATTTTTTGACTGTCTGCTACCAAAACACCAGCCAGGGGAGACACTATTTAACGCTATCTGCTGAACACTGAGCGCTCTGCTGCCAATGTGTGGACTCCTATAGCAAACCAGTCATGGTCAACGTACCATACAATTGCTATAACACTTTTTTAAACAGTGATACTGAATACAATTACACACAAAGCCAATGACCCGTTTCTTGTCGATTGACAATGGATGCTTTTGGAGTTTGAGGCCCCTTATGAAGTATATCACCATTAATTGAAAACTCTGTATTTTATCAAATAATCTCTCCAGGTTTTTTATTCACTGCACATGCAAATGAACACAATAATTGGCATAAATTGTTTTCACTGCTTTTTATATTAAAGACATGTCCAAACGATAATGCTTCAACAACAATAGAAACTGCGGTTAAGATTAATATTTTTCTCATGGTAAAACAGCTAAGTGTTGAGATGTGGACAATGACAATAGATATTAAATGCATCATTTACTCGAAACCATTCACTGGCAATCGTTTAATTAAAGCTGACCAGCTTTTAACAGTCATAAACCAAACCAAAAAATTATGAATCTCAACGCTCCTTTCAGTTCATTCTCTTACAAACAACAAATAAATAATTCCACTTAAATTCATTGAAATAATCGTAAAACTTGCTTTTTCTATTCCTAATTCAGATTTAATACATCTGTCCTATATATTGTATTTTAAAATTACAATACTCAGATTTTGTTGATGGGAAAAATCTCCATCCATCAGACTCTTGGGAAATGCTGCAAATATGGCATGTCTTAAATGACCAGCATGCCTTGTGTGTGAACATGTCTCTTCCAATGGCCCAAATGCCCAACCATTGGCCGTTTACATAAAACCTCCCTTGACATTCCATTTAGATAATTAACAATTAACATTTGGGAATATTTAATTGAAAGTTAAAGATTTTGGTCTAGTTTCCATTTGTGACCTTTAATGAACAAAAATCTGTAATGAAATCAATTGATAGTTCATAAACATTATTTTGTAATCTACTCATTTTTGGTGTCATAGCACTAAACAGTTTCTGATTTGATTTGAAGTTCTTCATAATTTTTTAATATCAATCATATTTTTAGCAATAACAGAACACAGGTAGAATGACACAAATGTTTGATGTATATGATCAATTATGCATTTGACATGTTATTAAATAAGAAACCAAAAATGCATCTTTCAAATTATATTGCATCTTGCATGAGTGTGTTTTTTCAAACCACATAAAGGAGACATTCAATGGTCACACAAGTCGATGGGATAAAATTGAGTAATCATGTGATATTAAAACACTGCTTAACGATCCAAAACTAATTTCTGAATTTTGTCAATCCAATAATGGAAGAATTCTTAGTCAGACACTTTGGAAAAAAAAGTTGGAACAATAAAAAATGATTTTGTTTTTCATATATTTTCAGTTCCAAATGGCCAAGAAGAGGTTACAAATAACAACACAGAAGACCCCCAGGTAAGATGCCTACTAGCATGACCTTTCATGATGCATATATTCCATATTATACCATAAATCAAGTTATATAACCTAAACATCATTCAATATTAAATTGGGGTTATCTCCCTTTAAGGCTTCTCCATTAGGAGATAATGGGAAATGTTGGTACACTACTTGATGGACATAAAACATTAAGCATGCCAAATATCCCCAAAAAACTTACAGTAAGTGTTCCATGCAATTCACTGTTATTCTGAAATAAATAGTGCTCGTTTCAAATCACACACATTTACATGAATTGACAAAGAAATAACAGGCCTGTCAACTGTCCCGCATTTTGCGTATTTGTCACGCATTTGCTGAAGAATTTGAAGTCACGCCAGTTTTTTTTGCGTGACAGAAAATGTCACGCAAATACGCATTTTACCTGGTCATTGTCAAGCAAAAATATTTCTGTAGAAAATTTTTCAAAATATGTTTACGATACGGCAAAAATACGAACGTCGGGAAAAAACCGAACGCAATTTGTTCGGATTTGTCACGCGAATCCCGTATATGTCACGCATGTTCGTTGGAATTTTTCGTACCTACCCCCCCCCCCCCCCCCCCCCCCCCACCCCCCCCGTTGACGATATCGCGAGCGTAGCTAGCGCGAAAAATTTGAGGTGATCAAACTTTGGCAAAGGTGCTCAAACTTTGGCCAAAGGTGTTCAAAATTTGGACAGAAGTGTTCAGATTTGGACTTAGGTGTCCAACATTTTGAAGTCACTCATATTAGGTGGTCCCAAGTTGACAGCCCTGAAATAACTTTACATGTACTTTCACACTTCAAAATTATCTGAAGAATATCTAATCCCACATAAGCTGAACAAATTAAAAAAGTCAAGTGTCATTTCTAGATGGTAAATAAAGATTAAAAATTAACCAAATCTTAAGAATGATACTTGAGGTTATTGTTATTAAGACATTTGAAAGACAAATAATTTCAAGTGGCCTTAATCAGGGTACTTGTACAGGATCATCACTGTTCTTATTGTATCTTGGCCTTCAACATATGTTGATCTGCATTTTCCACTTTATACTCAGAGAATGTCTTTGTTATTCAAGTGGTCTTTATATCTTTAACACAAGTTCTGAATTTTATAAACTATAAATTTAACTGGTAAATTGAATGCAATCAAGGATACGAGCATATTTTTTTAAGATTTAAAAAAACATCACTTTATTCTTATGGTTGATTTACTAGTTTAAAACAGACTTAATATTTGGTGATAAAAATTTAAATGACAAAGAAAATGCTTTTTCCTCATAAAGTATCCTAATTGCTGCAGACTTGTTGGATGATTTCATAAAAAGGTCCATAAAATCAAAAAAGAAAGATGGTTATTTTATCGCCCCAAAGCATGTGTTCCACCATAATTTTCTTAACTGAGAACATCATTTCAACATTACAATAAATCTATTCCTGCTTACAATTTTCAGATGTGGTTTGAACGTCAAACGAAACTCGCAAAAGTGGTAGATACCTCAAGTGATCACATGACCCAAGGTCAAGGTCATATGACAACAAATGGCTACAGTCTTCAATACACGCAACATCCTCAAAATTTTGGTGCTACGTCGCGTAATCAGACTGCTGGGGCGGAGATGAAATCGTCAGCTGTAGATGCAGTCTATCAAAACATACAAGGCATCACCGTACAGACCACCTCAGGCCAGAACAACTCCACCACAGAAAATAACCGCACTCCCGGAAACTACACCCCTCCGGCTGGTCTAACTGGTAAGTCTATTGGTTCATATATTCTATCATGGGTATAGGTAACGTACCTGTAAATCCCAACATGGTGCAATGCCCCTTCAGTGAACATTGGGTCCAACTCCAGAAAATCTGGACCCATTGTTTCAAATATTTAGGCCCGTTTTCCGAAAAAATGAACACTCAAAAGTGACACCTCAAAATGCCCCTTTTATGCTTACGGTTAAAATAGAAGGAATTAGAATTGTTTCTTCTGAACATTGAGGTGGAGGGGTTAGTCAGATCCATCTGAGCCCCTTATTTGTAGGGTACTCACCTTAGTATAGCAGAGGCATATAATAACATGTTTTGACATGTCTCTGAGTACTCTAAGATAAAGATCTGTCAGTTTTGAGTTATATTTGTTGTGTGTGATGGTGTTTATTAAAAACTCTTTTAATGTTGCATTAAGAATATGAAAAAAATAATTATACAAACAATTTTTTTGTGTACCCACAAATCATTTTTTTCATGACCATATTTCGTAATATACACATGCGCTTGTGCTTGAGTTATTGTACAGTATGCCTCTGTTGTCTCTGCTTTATTTGCCTCCCATTGTACAGTCAATTGTGTCACTTTTGATTTACGTTACCATGGCAATGTGTGTAGTTTTAATAATTGTAAATGATATGGTACATCTGCATTAATTAATGGAATGACAGTTAAAATATATTTAACTCAATCAATTATTTGTTCATCTATAAAGAGATTTGGTGAACTATGACCTAATACTAGTGTCCTTTTTTGAGATATAGACTTTATAGATGATAAGGCATAACAAATTTGAGATATTTGGTGATTGGATACGCAACACATTGATGACAATTAACAAAAGACAACAAGAATCAATCATCCCCCTCATAATCCTGGCATTATCAAATGCATCTGAACGTTTGATATAAAACAGATATGACACATATTCTATGATTTTCAAGAGGGGGATATCATTTTTATCCCTGAGAACATTGATATCTGTGACTGAGTAGCACGCAACTCAATTTTCATTGGTTTTGCTTTTTCTCCGTTTGCAATCAACTTTGCTCCGGATGATTGACTTCATAAATTATTGCTTAGTTCAGACAGCGACGTACATCAAGGAAATATCAAAATTGATATGTTATAAATGTGAACTAAAGCAACGAGAGGATAGTGAGAAACAAATACACAACATATACTTGAAATAGATGTACTAAATTGTATGGAAAAATCAGGATTAATGGTCATTTTTTAATTCTGAGAGAGAAAAATAGTGTAATTAGTTTGATTCGACTGATATAAGCAGAATGGGCATGCTAGGTTGAAAAGCCGTCAAACTATAGATTTACATTTTCATGCTTCACGGACTAAACAAATATGACAATGTTATGATTTTTATTCCGCTAATATTTAGACCATTTTATTTTCCGCGACTTGTAACTGATCTAATTTGTGGCGTTCTGGTAAATTAATTGTGGGTAACGTGAATAGAGTATGTATGACATGTCTTTGTTTAAAACAGCTGAATATATCAAAATACTTTGATTTATTTTCCTAATTGGAGCATTACATATAAATATAATTATTAATAATGATAAATCAATTTGACAACTTAAAGGCTAGTTTTTTGTTTTATACTTAAAGGATCATTATTATTATATTTAGCAACTCAAAACAAACGTAAACATGAATTGATTACCATGGTAACCTTTTTTGAAAAACATTTGGAATAATGCATGATTATTGGTGCATGGTTTGTGTTGCATAAGACATGGACAAGAAAATCACTTTGGTCACGTGTTTCTTAAAGCAAATAGAATTTAATATGAGATAAAGTGAATGGGAATGAATTCTCAGAAAATTAGAAACTCTAAAAAGTTTCAAGACAATTGAATAACATCACATGGCCAGAGTGATTTGCCTTAAGACATTCTCCAAATGGACTCATACACAAATCCCTTTCTCCAAGCAACGAGGAACTCTCTGATGATTTTTGTAGCCCTGCATTTGGAGGATGTTCTTGGAATGTGGATATCTGCTTTTGCTGTATGTTTTATTTAATTATTCTTTAATTTAGTGCATGTTGTATTGTGAGAATGTTAATTGTAGGCAATTCTTTGACCACCCTTACTCCCGTTTCAACAGAAGGTGATGTTAAGCCTGTGATTGGTCCAGATGGTCAGGTCCAAAGCACGTCCTCAACTGCCCACTACTCAGAAAGTAAGCATGGCTCAATTGCATGAACAATTTTCACCCAAAAAATTTCAGGTATCATATTCAGGGATCATATTAGGAATATCCTCATGGTTATATGGTGTTCTATTTCCAGTGTTATGACCAAAATATATTTGAATTTGCATATGGCATTAAACAATAAAAAATGCTGGGTAAATTTATCTTATTGCGATAAAAAATATTTTTAGAAGGTTTCTGTTACAGAGCCTTGTGTCTTAAAAGAGAGAATTGTGTGCTAGTAAACCATAAGTTGTATATCCTTTAATTCAATCCCACGTTCACGTTAAATACCTACTAATGCAGAAAATCTCTCCAAGTTCTTGCTTAATCCATGCAACGTCCTCATTAAAGTTTCAAATTATTCAAACTTTTTCTGAGATTTCTTAACTTTAGAGCCTCAATGTCTCGTCTTTATCAATTTGCTGATTTTCCAGAATTTCTCCATATTTTGAGATAAATAAAAACATTGCCTCCCATTTCTTTCAGCTAATATCTCCAAATAACAATTCTCAAGAAATGAAAGCATTTATATATTTCAGTAAGAATTTAAGAATTTTTTTATTTTCTTCAGAATTTGCATCGTAATTCAAATTATAATTGTCACCTTTCATTATTCAGATATCTTATTCTTTATATATTTTAAAGCGGTTTCTTGAAATATTGAAGAACAACGGAGTAAAATGCAAAACAGAGAAAGAGGATGATGAATAATTAAATTCCCTGTAATAATTTATGGTAACCCAAACTCTAAATTGTGTAAAAATGTAAGAAATAATTTGCTACAATCAAATTAATTCAAGAAAATATTAAAATATCTGTGGCCAGGATAAAATCTGCTGGTTGGGATATGCTATAACTGTTAGTGACATTCATTTGCATGAGTAAGCCTTCCCATTAATACAATTTCAAGAGAGTCACATTTTCAGATGAAAAGTAGCACAAAATACTTGAATTAGCTTGGAATAAAATACAGAGGGACATAGTCGATATTCTAAATTGTACAGAAATCAAAGAAAATCAGTGACGTCATTGAAGATTTAGAGTAAAAAAGATGAAATTTGCTTGATGTTTATGATTTTCTAGCTTCGGTATATGTTATGGTTAGCTTTGCGTTTAATTGATTTGACTTTCCGTTTTTACTTTATTGCGTTATGGGTAAACCCTTATGATAATGTCGTTTTCTTTTGTTCGTCTTTATTAATGGACTATAGCTTGGCATATAGACCATTAAGTGAGCCTGCGATGAAAGCAATTCGAGAAACTATAGCACTTTATTATGGTATTATACTAAAACAAAATGCCAATAAGGAATATTAGCAAACTAGTCTACGGTTCATTTGATACTGTCTTATTACAATAATTTCCATCTTATCCATTTACATTATATTATTTGATTTTTTTATTTTTTCATTTTTTGAGGAGGTTATTATAATATTAGTTGGATTCCTTGGTGATTTATATGCAATTTCTTCACAATAAAAGCATGTTGATCTAAAAAAGATCATCTGTTAACATTTTGCTAATAAGCACTTAACTGTATGAGAAAGACATTTTGCCCATAGATTATATGTAAATAATCTCACATATAAAAAATTTACATATGAAATAAAAAATAAAATAATTAGTAAGTCTTAAAATCAAGTGAAACGTTCTAAGAATTTATTTTTTCCTCTGATGCTAATTTTCAGGGTATTCAGATAATTCTGTGTTTCTCCCTTCAGGCAAAATTCTCTTGTATACTGCAACATTAAAATAATATTAAAATGGATTTATTTGGTATGGTATTTGTGCATTTTGTTTTGTTTATTTCATTTTGCGCATGTGCATGTTCTTACAGCCAACAATAATAGCATTCAAGGTGAAACAGTCCCCTCCCCCGGGAAAGCCAGCGAGGCCCCACACCATGGCTCCCCAGGGGATTTGGTCGAACTCAAACCTGCTCTCGCTACAACTGGAATAAGTCAACTTTACACAACTAGTAAGTCAGAATTATGCCAGCATTTCTTTCATGCTAGAATTTCTATTATGCCTAAATTTCTGAAACCAGTCAGTGTTAAATCTTATATGATTTATATGCTAAGTTTGAGTTGGGACATAGATGTGGGATGATTTTTGATTTTATGTTTTTAAATTTATGATGGTATGTGGAAAAATGGGTATTTTTGGGGAAATCCTGCATGCACTAAAAGTTATACATAGGAATATTCTTTCTTCATTGTCTTGAAGGGAGATATAGGCTTTGCATGTGAATAGTCTCAACTGTCAATTACCGGTAATTTTTTTAGTGTTTTTAGCTGACAATATTGTTCTAAATCACCTCTACATGGCATGCCGCATGTGTTTCAAATTTCATAGTATACAAATTATATGTTGTGATTGGGAGGACTGAGTCATTAGAAAAAATACAGTTGAAAATTATAACCACACAAAATCTGTCACAGACCTGTCTGCAAGAGAATATCATCTACAGGTTTAAATTTCATTTTCAAATTCATAGCAAATTGTCACTTTAATTTCATTTTTCTCTGCAAAAGCATCAATGAAACACTTAATTTTTTAGCATTTTTGTACAATTTAAAGTGTTCTCTAAATATGTATTCCTTTTATTCCTAGCGAGTTTCATATTTTTCAGTTTATTGTTCATTTAAAATCATGACTACTGTATCAGGTTTCCAACCTCCTCTACACTTACAGATTACACCAATTGCAATGTCATTGTTTACTCAAAGACACATGTTTAAATCTAGTAAGACATTTAACATAATCTCTGCCCCTCTAAAACATGGGAAAACAATTAATATGGGGATGTATTACAATGAAGATTGATTGGCTGCTGGTTGTTAAATGTACAATTGACAGTTTTAAATGATAAAGCATGGGGCATTTATCCTCTCACATCATCAGTTGGTTACCCAAAAGATAAAACCTCAGGAGGTGGGTCATGTTTTAAAATTCAAAATTCAAGAAATTGGAGTAAAATAAACGAGAAATAATTTAATAGTTATGTAGTTGAGACAATAAATTGTTCAGAAATGTCAAAAAATCAAGTAGTTTATTCAAATTTTTGAGAGATAACATGGAAATCAACATAAAGCAGACGGTAATTCTCCAAAAGATTTCAAACTGATAATCTCTAACTGAGAAGGAGTTGATCTCAATTATTCATGTCTTATTGCAATTTTCTCCAATTATTCATTTTTATTTGGACTTATTCACATTATTCATCTTTTGAAGGATTCTTGAATTTCCAGGCTATTTTTGAGTTTGTTTGTTTATCTCTTATTTGTTCCCTTTTCCAAGATAATTTCTGAAAATATCTGAATCATAAAGTCTTAAAATACTCAGATATTAAGAGCTTAAAATACATGCAATTTTAGTTTTTCATGATTTTCCTTGATATTCCTCATCTTTGGTGGCTTTATAAAATTATCAACTGTACTTGTGATTTATGGACTTGTTGAAAGTGGTTTGTTGTGGAGGTCCACTCATCACGTGGTGGCCAATATAAATCTGATTAATCACCTAATAATCACTATTTAATCATTTAATCATCTTTACAAGCTAGCAAATATACTTGTTTTTGTTAGCATATGTTGTTGTTTTGAATACATATTCCTTTTATATTCCTTTGCTTTGATCTTTATTTATTTACAATGTAGTTGTCTTAAAGTTGGAAGGTGGAAGGGGTTAGAATGGCCGTCTGCTCATGCTTATTTCACTACATTTCTGATTAAAATTTGATAGAACAGTATAATTTTCTTGCATTTCTATACAATTGAAGGCATTGATTACATGCCTATCTACTTCATTCCTTGTTGATATCTATGTTTCCAGTCTATTTTGTATTTCAAAACATGACCTATTCTTAAGTTCTTATTGACCCTCTGGGGTTACACTGATCTCTGGTTGATGTTTCATTAAGTCATTAGGATTTAATTGGCTCACTAATTATTAAATTGTAAGATCAAGCAAGATCCAAGAGAGAGATGATGTTTTAATTAAAGCATACTCATGCAATTATTACCTATACTCAACTCTTGCGAAAATTGCATTTTAGCTATGTTTTAAAATGGAAAATAGACACCAATAGAAAGGAAAAAGCAAGGAATAAAGTATGTAGGCATGAAGTAAATACTCTAAATTGTATAGAAATGCCCAAAAATTAGATAATTCAGTCAAATTTTCATGAGAAATTCAGTGAATTGACATTCTCAAAAGTGGAGAATTTGACATGGATTTCACCCCTCCAAGTCAACTCTGTGGGAAATTATAAATCTGGATGGCCTATGAATGTACCTATGACTCAAGGAGATATCATTTTGAATAAAAAATATAGCAGGATAATTGGAATGTCTTTATTTGTAATCCTATCCCGTCAAAATAAAACAGTTCCAAGATATTCATTCATCTGATGTTCTTAATCCTTTTGTTTTTTCTTTTGTTTTCACCGTATTTCAAAACTTCATGGAAACACAACTAAATTTCTTGAAGATACCTGGCACTATGAGCAAAAATTATGGAAATTTGATCATAATTAAAGGTGTTCTGAGTTAAGGTGAAAATTAATTCAATCCCCACATTTTCTTTGATAGCGGCCACATATGAGGCATCTGGGAGGTGAGATTTGACGAACATTTTCTTCTTGTGATCTTATTGCATGAGAAATATCAGATTTGCATTCCTGGAGAGATGTAAACATGTTGATGTGAGATTGATAAAGGGAAACAACACTATTCAGTTCATATAGTGCATCAGGTCTCTAAGCCCCCCCCCATCTTATTTACTAGTCCTTCAGCTACACTACACAACGTAAGTTTAGCAATACAATATCAAACCCTGACAATGTTTGAAGCTCAATTTTGTTACTTCATTTTTTCAAAAATTCAGTGACAAATTAGATAATAATAAAGCATGGCCATAGTTCTTAATATGATTATAACCCCCCCCCCCCCCCCCCCTCTTTCGTGTCAACGTAGAAAACATTATCCTTGAACTGTCTCCATCATACATAAATTGAAATAACAATTCGCGAAAAATATTTATTTTTTGAATGAGTGTCAGTTGAATGATGTACAAATAAGACAGAAAATAATTCATTATAATATTTTATGACCACTATCATCTGATTTATTGGACCACATCTATTATGTAGATCTTTCTAGATTTATTTCTTAAGGTCATTCACTTGTTAGGCACTCATGACAATTTTTTATTAAACAATACAATTTCACGCTTTTACCATTTCTTGTGGTTTTTAATGTAAAATAATTGTGAATTATAACACAGGTATAAAATAATTTTTAGCTCCTGACCATGGAGTTTAAGAAAGAAAAGAAAGATTGAATGAGGACGTTTCTGAGCAATTGTTTTGTGATATATTTTTGATATCATGGTTCACTGATTTTCATAATGTGACTCGGTGCAATCCAACGAGGGATTGTGGCTCAGGTAAATTGCTCAACAAAATCCCCGATGTTCATCCAGTGAAATACAATTACATGTTGTTAAGCATTTCTTCATCCTGGAATCTTCTGGACCGGGTTTGTTATTTGAAAAATAAAGCCATTTGGTATGGTCAAATAACTTAATACAAAACTAACAAATATATTTATGAAAACTATGTTATGCACCTTGGATCTATTCCATGTTACAGAGGTCAATAAATGATATTATTCACCTTGGGGTTATAATATGCTCTTTCAGCTGGTAAAATGGGTTAAACTAACACTCACATGTCTTTCACATGTTAGCCTCTCTATAAAGGTCGATAAATTCTACCATTTACCTCAAGATTATAATATTCTAACAACCACATGTTGATAGTCAACCTCTACAGAGGTCTATAAACTACATTATTCACCTATTGACCTTTATAGAAGTCAATAAACTATATTATCACCTTTGGATTATTCTATGTTCTAACAGCAACGTGGTAACCACTATAGAGGTCAATAAACTATATTATTCACCTCTACTGAGGTCAATAAACTATTATTCACCTGGGTATTATTCTATGTTCTTTCAGCTGGTCAGCCAGGCTATACTAACACTCATACATCTTTTAGCAGTCAACCAATGAACAGTCTAGTTCCCCCACTTGTCCTGCCCCCTGGGTCCACCACTACTTATAGCCCACCAACTAATGGTAAGTAACTCACTTTACCACTACTTATAGCCCACCAACTAATGGTAAGTACCTCACTTCATCACTACTTATAGCCCACCAACTAATGGTAAGTAACTCACTTCACCACTACTTATAGCCCACCAACTAATGGTAAGTAACTCACTTCACCACTACTTATAGCCCACCAACTAATGGTAAGTAACTCACTTCACCACTACTTATAGCCGACCAACTAATGGTAAGTAACTCACTTCACCACTACTTATAGCCCACCAACTAATGGTAAGTAACTCACTTCACCACTACTTATAGCCCACCTACTAATGGTAAGTAACTCACTTCACCACTACTTATAGCCGACCAACTTATGGTAAGTAACTCACTTCACCACTACTTATAGCCCACCAACTAATGGTAAGTAACTCACACTCACTTAATGTACACAGAGGCCCAACCAGGAGAGAAATACCTCACCAAGACTTTACATTTGCCTCACCTCTCTTGGCTATGCCTTTGGTACCACCACATGTTATTACCACCTACGTTTCTTTTTACTCATTCCAGTCTTTATCACACACTATGAACTCAACAATATTATAAGCTTTCTTAAATAAAATACTTTTCTAAATGTAAATACTTTTAAATATAGGTAATAGGTGATAAAAAAAACTTATGGAATCACAAATTGATCACATACTTTTTGTCGTTGTTTATTAGTATGTTGCCCTTTGTTCTTTTTAATTTTAAATGGTTATCAGTATTGTAAATTGTTTATTCTGTTAATTCCGTCATGGTAAATAAAATTGTTTACTTTTATATTTATACAGTATATGTATAATGTGCCACAAAATGTACTTGGAACTATAGATTAATTGTAAATAAAATCAATTAATATTTGAGATTATTTTTTAATTACTAATGTCAAATGATTAACCAAACATTTATTCATCATAAAAAAACATTTTTCAAATTTTATGATTGGTAAATGATTTTAATTGTATGCAAAATAAATAAAAAGTATTGGAAATTTGGAAATTAATATATTTATCATTGTGTTTTCCGATATAAAAGTCCCTTATAAAAGTCATTGAATTAAAACACTGGAGACCTGTATTCAATTCCATTTATCTCTTTGAAGTTGGTTTTATTATCTTATTAACTTTAATGAGTTTTTAATTGATTTCTCCTTGTCAGCATATACAATTAATATTGAAACTGGTTATCATTGATCGACTAAAATTTACATTTAATAGGGGCTCACTTTGTTTAGATTGATATCTCACATATTGAAATCATGGAAAAATATCACAATTGAAATGATTTAAAACTCAAAATGTGGGAATCAAGAATGGAAAAATAGAAGAATACGATATATAATAGGGTACTTAAAACTCCAAATTGCCTTGAAATACCAGAAAAGCATACACTTCATTCAAGTTTTGGGGGAATACACTAAAATATCTGTGGCATTGTGGAATTTCTTTGAGGGGAAGGGAGCCTCAACTTCAAACAGTTTAATTTCCAAAACTTGAAAGTGAACACCTAATAGCATATGCTCCAGGAAATAAAAAACTGATGATTCGAGTATTGTTTTATAATTGCAGTTTTGTAATCGTAGATTTAGAAAATTATGTGGTGCTGACTTTTTACACCTTTGGCAGGTGCGGTTTACATATTTCAACACTTGTTATGTTTCTGTTAAACCCCCTATGTAACATAAGATAGATTTCATAACTACCCCAGGGGAAATGACTATAATTTTATACAAAATTCTAAAAACCTTTCCAAAAGATATATTGTTTGCTGTAATTTTAGCACAAATCAAAGGCGATCAAAAGTATATGCCCATATAAGGAGATCAAAATTGCTCTCATAGATTACAGTTTCTATACATGGATTTACTAAAGTTCAGTTTTTATTCAAATTCAAACTGTATAAAAAGCAAAAAAATACTTTAATCCTTTTCATTAAAAAGTGACCAAGGCATTTCCCTCCATCAATTTCTGAATATGATTAATTTGGATAAATCAAAAAATGAACATTTATTGGTTATTTATTCCCAAAAGATTATGAATAGACTATGAACTAATTTATGCTTTGGTCTATTCTGACATTAACAAATGGAATTTCATTATTAAATTCTAATATTTTTGGTTAACCATGCTAGAGTCTCAGAGTCAATTATGGTTGATTCAAACTTTTCAGAAAAAATTTCTGGTCAGTTTTCAAATTCTCATTAATCTTAAGAAACAAGGGTTGTCTTGAGGAATTAAAATCTCAATCTTTGGTTTTGATAAAACGGGGTCATATCTCAAGAAGACGGTAAGGTTATCATCCTACCTAGGATCTGTCACTAAATGTTTATTTAAATATGTTCTGTGCAGTTTTGTAAAATCTTAGAGTCTAGATAGTGTCTTGTGAGAATTAGGTGTTCACCAAGGCGTGCTATCAAGCCAGGTGTTATCTAAATTGAATAATGCAAGTAACATGTTACTAACTGGTATCCAAGAAAACAAAAAGTAGCCACCCAGATTCCAAGAGCCAAAATAATGATCATAGCACTACAATATTCAAGAATGAATAAGTAAATACTAAAGGTTTATACTACACTCTAATATTCTCCATAAATTCATGGATGCACAAATAAAAAATTTAAAAAAAATTATTCAGCTCATAATAATTTTATAATCTTATCCTGTAATAATGAAATGCATTTACAATCTACAATATTAGTTGTTTATTACTTGCTGATTATACTATTTATTGTTTGGAGATTTAAAATGTCAGCCAAAACATTTTATTTCTGGGTGTGGGGGTGAAAGCATTCATGGGTGAAGACTGTGATTAATGGGTGATGTAAAACATAAACTTATATCTGACCTGCAAAGAAATCATCATATAGTCATGTTTTAAAATGCAAAATAGAGTGAAAAAGAGTGGAATTAGCAAGGAATAAAATACACCAACACGTAGTCAATACTCTGAATTGTATAAAAATACTCATAAATTCAATACTTCATCCAAATTTTAGAGAGAATTTGAGTGATATAGGCATATGCAGACGTCACTTTAGGCCTAATTGAACAACAATAAATATAACACCCTAGATCTATCAATCGTTTAAACAAAATGCCAAAACTTTTAAGATAATACTCTGGTAATCTTTAGTTATATGCATAAGGTGAACTTAAGTATAACCTTCCCATTATTTTGTCTTGTAATAGAGATATGAATAAATTCTAAACATATCCCAGGATAATATCAAAGTGAAATATGACATGTAAGGATTTTTAGCTAAAGGAATTATGTTCAAATATACAATTAAATAGAAGAAAAAATTCAGTATTTTGCTTTGACGACTTATTCAATAGAATTGCTTTGTTTTAGAAATTCAATGATAGAAAAAAATCAAAGAACAAAATGTACAGTTATCTCAAAAGAACAGTCAAAACTTATCAAATGACAGAAATTCAGATAAATGTTTCAAATTTGAAAGAAAGTGTATTGAAATAAATGAGATCAGACAGTGACACTTTCCAAAATTTAAATTTCCCAGGAGTCAGATATTTGGAGTGTAAGCGAACACTAATCTGGGAATTATCATATTTGATTTTTTTGTACCTGGGGTCAGTGAACACCACCCTGGAACCATTCAACTGTTCATGTAGAAAAACACTTAACCAGGAAGTAGATTAAATTGACAGTTAAGTAAATATATACCACACCCAAGAAACTTCAAACCCGGAAATAAATTTGTGACTTTCACGAAAAACAGAAGTTTTTTAACTGTGATATCAGAAATGTACCCAACATGAATCCCCGTTAGGTTTGTCGGAAATTTCAAAATTGATATTTTTATTATTGTTTAATGCGGGATAATCCAGTGCTCTGATATAAATAACGTCTTGGGAGAACATTTTTCAATTCCGGATGTTTTCTAAAAATAGATTAAAACAAACTCGACATAAAGATGAAACATTTTTTCATCTTATAATTGACACTTCCGATGTCACTGCATTAGACATACCCCATTTCCCAGACTTTTTATTTTCAAATCAAAGAGACTTAAAAATTAGCTGGGGATCTTTAGATAGACATGAATAAAAGATACATAATAATTTGGATTATCTCAATTTGTCGCATTGCTTGCAAGGTTTAATGGATGAAATCAATGAACCATGGATATATTTATAATCCCGGCCCTTCATAAAGAAATTTGTTAATGACTATATACATAACACTGAGTTGTTCCGGTTGACTAGGCAGCGAGATTCAGTATAAAGCTGACACTGTTATGATAAACTTGCCTTTAAATCCATTAATTAAATGATGCGCTTTTAAGATTCGCATGATCAACCAAGAGAAACTGTTGCCGTAGCAACGGATATGAAATTGTCAGTCTCTTAGTTGTGTGTGGATTCAGTTGCCAGCTGTTTTGAGGAATCCCATTCAGAAAATCTGAATCCAAGTCATGTTTTTTTCACTCTATTTCTCTCTAAAATTTGAATGAAGTGTCTAATTTTTGGGCATTTCTATACAATTTAGAGTGTTGACTACATCCCCATTTACTTCATATCCCCAAATTTCTTCCATTTCTCATGCCCTTTTGAATTTTAAAACATACTATCCTTGAATTAACATTATTATTTAGATCATTCTTTAATCTTGATTTATTATTAGACACAAAAATACATCAAGATAAATTTTATTCGATTAATTTCGATTTGTGGAAAAATAACTATTCAACCTATATCCACATTTCAATTTATAATCACCATAATTAAAGAATAAACAATAAATATTTATCACTTTTAAATCACACCATAAACAATAAAACAATCCATTTAGATTTAAAATTAATGTGTGAAGTAAAACAAAATTGACAATTTTAACAGTAATGGATGAATTATGAATTATAACTGCTAATATCAATTGACTTATCTGAGAATTGGCCAATAATCTTGATAATTTCAAGATAATCTCATTTTTTCAAAACCTAAATACCATTTTTAAGTTCAGTATTATTCAATGATGCAAATTCATGCATAGGATAAAGTATAAAAATGAATTATTTATTTAAAACAATAATGTAAAAATAACATTGTTTTATAGTATTCATTTTTGAACTGGATTATTCAACATTATTTCATATTATTTAACTTAGAATCAATTTATTCATCATTGTTTCATATTATTCAACTTTGAATCAGATTATTCAACATTGTTTCATATTATTCAACTTTGTATGATTACAGGTAGTGATTACAGTACATATGCATCAGTCCCTTACACACAATACGGCACCACCCCTCCCTACGCAGACTCAGCATGGACTATGAGATATGCAGGATCTAGTGCTGCTTTAATGAGTAAGTAATAGAAAGAGGACTTTTAGTCATAGGACATTTGTTTCTGATACAGTTGTGAGATGGTTCAATTAATAAACGCATACAAATGGGACATTTTATCACAAGATTATAAATTTTTAAACAGTTGCATAGTATAACATTAGATGGTTCCTTGAAAAGAAAGAAATACACGAGCATGTACGTGAGACTTCATTTTCTGGGATACAATTTTCTTTTCAACATCATATATGTTTAAATGAATTTATCATGTACTTTCAGACCCGTCCTACTATTACGCACCCCCATCAAGAACTGGAGAATCGTCCCCCACCTCAACCAATTACAAGTCAGAACGTTGCTAACACTAGCTATATATAGGACCTTTTACACTGGGACATTAAATACTCAAATGTCCCATTGTGCTGAGCACCAACTTACAGTCCCATAAATCCTTGGATCATAATATGGGATGAGTCATATCTGAGGACTGAAATCTCCAGGATCAAAAATCCTGTCATGAACTTCAAAACCCGTGCCATGGAGAATCATAATCCCCAGGACTAAATGGACAATATGAGGGGTTTACATAATGTGTGAGAAACATGCAACTACAGTGGATTTAATTAACTGTAAAATAGCTTATTCATACAACAGCTATTTTTACTTATACAACAGCTACAGTGTGGTAGCTATTTCAATTTATATGTTAGGGGGGGGGTATGAACTCCATGTTTGTAAGATATTTGTACATATTTATACAGTAGATCTTCATGTATTTCTTTTAAAGTTCATTTACATTAGCATTTTAGGATTAACTTACATACATGCTTTAAGAGATCCTTTAAAGGGGTGTGGCTTACATAAATGCTTTAAGAGATCATTAAAGGATTGTAACTTACAGACATTTAATTAAATGGGTGTACTCAAGATGAAAATTAGTATTTTCTTAAAAAGAAAGAAAAATTCCATTTTGGATATACCATTTTAAAGTCAGCATTTCTCAGATCCTACAAGGAAAAAAGTTTTTAGACTTTTTAGACTGCATTTTAAAACTGTTATTCATGCTAACGAACCAGTGTATGTATATATTTAAAACCATGCATCTTGCCTAGGTGCCATGCATCTTGCCTAGGTGCCATGCATCTTGCCTAGGTGCCATGCATCTTGCCTAGTTATTAAAGGTGGTGCAATGTGACTGAAAAATAATCAAATATTAAAGGAAAAGTGCAATTCTTGGTATTTCTCCAAAGATGTTGGGAGTAAGGAACATATTTTTCAATATTTCAATAAGCCTATTTTTGTATATCATTTCAAATTCTGAGTGACAATTATTCATTAATCAAAATAAAATAAGGCTATATAAAACACAATAAAAAAGATCATGCAACATTTCAGGATTGGAAATTGAAATTATATTTTGGATCTTATGAATTCGGTTTCAGTGTTATGATATCATTAATCTGAAGATTGTTCCAATAAAACATGATGTCCTTTTGGGACTTAGCATTTATTCTGATTTATAGGGATTTGACTGCAATAACGAGCTGGGACGTTTGCAAACTTAAGCTATATTCAAAAATGTACTATGATTTTTATGTAGTCATAATATTTTATTACAATGATATTAAGTGAGGATTTTAGTTTATGCTGTTTAGAAATGACAATGGGTCAATACAGATGTAGAAATGAGTAAGCATGAAATGAATGGTATTTTTATCATTTTTAAGAGAGAAACATTTATATATAATGCGCCCATGACACAATTTTCTAAGATATTAAGCTAGCCACAAGTCTTGCCAGACATTTGAAGAGCTTGCTAGGATTCAATGTAATCTTGCCAGTATTCATTGAAATCTTGCCTATGTTCGCTGAACTCTTGTACAATTTACATAAAGTTATAAAATACATATGTTTTATACTATACCACTACAGTGATTGTCTGTCTATTCTTTTATATATGCATAACATTACTAAAATCACCAATTTGTTTTATGAAGATTAATATACGTTTTTCAATTAATCATAAATGATTGAATAAAACATAGGCCTATCTCATTTTTTATTTCTACAAAACAAGATATCCCCATGGAACTATTTCTAGACTTCACTGGGATTTTCCTAAGTTTCAAGAGTTTGGATAACAAAGAAATATTTATGTTAAATGCAACGGCTGAATATTGTTGACAAAAGAAATAAAAAAATTGTCATAAATTTGTACTTCCAATATTAGGGCTCTGTTCATGCATGACGGTGACGTCTTAATCACTCTCCCGATGTATACATACCTGTGTGAAAAATAGCACAATAGTCATTTATAAAACATGAAAAAAGCACAGAAGTAGTGAAATAAGAGAAAAAATTACAAGCATCATGTTTTGTAAAAATTGCAAGAAATTCAAGGTGCAAAAAAAAATTATAACATACAGAATTTTGGTTATTGAAATTGATATTTTAGTTTGATATTCAAAAATGGGAAATGTAGTCTCGATTATTTCTCAATCTCCATGGCAATTCAAATATCATTAAATTCCCCACTTTCCATGCTTATTCCACTCTTATTTCTCTATAATTTGTAACAGAAGAGACAGATCTAATCAAGGTTGTACAGATTTATGGCCATTTGCTGTAATACAATAATATTCATTTAAATAAGTTACCAAAAGATTTTTATTTCTTTCAAGAATTCCACCCATAAATATCTATTCTCAATATTATTTCTGTTTTTTTACTTCACATTTTTACTTCATATTTTTGTATTTATACAAACATGACAAATTGATGATTATAGTTTAAATACATATTATTTACAAGTACAATGTCTTTTATGTCATGTATAAATTCAATTTAATTGATGACCAGTTTATGTGAATCATTGAAAACAAATCAAACACCTCGTGGAACTTAACACAAAGGTCATGCTTTAAAATGAGAAATACTCCAAGAAAATAAGGAAAATGCAAGGAATGGACCAACTAGGCTTTTTGTTGACACTCCAAATTGTATAGAAACACAAAAACATGAGCCAGTTTAATCAAATATTTTCAAGAAAATGAGAGAAAACCGTATGGACATATTGAAATCGTTTGGATGAGTACAATATAATGATGACACAAAATCAAACATTATTGTAATTTATGAATTTACTGAGATAGAAAGCTGAAGTTGTTATTTTTTTAAACATCATCTACAAACACTTTAAACACCTCTGCAAATATAACCTCCCGTCAATACAGACAATTTCAGCGATTAAATTAAATAATCATTTGAAAGTCACTTACAATATCTCAGTTTAATTAAACTATTAATTATCTTATTAATATTATTCTCACTGGTGCTAAATTGGAATTCTCTGGGGTTTTTAAAGACGATAATCCATAAATTTGCGGTTAATAATCCAGATATTTAGATGATTCAGAAATTTTACATTATCTTGGGGACAGTGTGATTAATAAGACATGTGAATAATGAATCAAAATTACTTTCAATTTGCAGCAGAATGTGAAGAAACAGCTATATTATTGTCCTTTTAACAGTATGAGGTATCTCCATATATATTTTCATAGATTTTCACGGTCCTTTTTTACAAAAAAATTTTGAAATATTTTCATAAATGATGTCCATTTTGACATTTCAAGATTGACTTATTTTTCCTTTTTTTGGTTAGTCATGTACTAGCAATTTAAAGGAAGTATTTTCGAAAAAAGTGGTTTGCATTAACATAGATGTTCTTATTTGGTGAATGAGGGGGAGCATTCGCATAAGTGTGATATAGAACAACATGAAACAAAGTAAGAAGACATAGTTTCGTTGTATGAAAATATCCATTTTTGCAATCTTAACTAACCTCAATGAATGAAAATACAGGGTCAAACTATGTAGGCCATTGGATAACAATCATATCCACAACCCGGGATCCACAACAAAGAAAACATTAATGCTGATACATTATGCTTATATATTTACCAACTTTTTCATTGAGCATAATCAAAGAGTTTGTTTTCAGTCAGTTGTCTATAAGGCAAACAAAACCGGGATTCATATTGAAACCGTGCACCAGTTCAATCAAAATTCAAAATGAATATACCCGAATAAAAATAATACAACATTTATTTTTTCAAACTCAGAATATCATGAAATCTGCAACAATCTCTGTGGTTAAATCAATACAAAATCAAAGCAGATTTTGAAATGTTCAGAAATGTAAAAAAATCATATTTTTGGTCAAACTTTTGTGAAATTGGAATGAAATAAGTGTGAACATTTTGATAGTTTGTTCACAAGTTAATGTTTTGATGAAGAAAGCACACAGCACGAGTATTAACTAAATCCTCATCTGTCTTAAACCTAAAACAAAGGGTTGTCATGTTATAATTATAGCCAAAACTGCATTGTTTTCCCCCAAACAAATAATATTCAATTATTCATGAAAAACAAGAAAAATAACAAAATAACATGGAATTGATAAACTTGTGTGAAAGCTTATATGCACTTTTAAATCTACAAAAGATATTTTATGATTTAAATAATTAAAATTGATAATAAAATTAAATTCTCAAATTGTGTTTATATAATTGAAAAGGGTAGATGTAAATTATGTGTGAATAAAAAACATGATAAGACTTGTACACAATATGATTTCAATATTTATTATAAAAAAACGAGTCTGTTAAAAAGATTTAAAGGTTCCCACAATTACATTAAAAGTGACCTAGCAGTTTTTTTTAAAGATTACTATCTTCGACACATCACAACAATCGGCACTTAGTGACGCATAAATCATCAAAATAAAAAAAAATTCCCTGAAATGTCAACGAACTTTTAATTATAGGATTATCATATTTCGTAATTTATTACATTTCTGAACTAAGTTTTCAAATGGAAATAATTTTTTATTTCATAAATTGGACTCTAAACTTGGAATGAGCAATCAATTATAACTTCTCCATTTAAAGCTTCAATTAGTTAATTAATAATCGTCTTTGAAAATGAGCACTTCATATGCAAACACTACCTGTACAAAATAACTGGTTTAATGCAATATTTTTTTAATTATAATAATGATAATTAATTTCTTTGCAAATTTTCAAGAAAGATTTTAGGGACTTTTAAAAACATGACAAACATGCTTGAATTCAGGAATAAAATGAACATCCTTTGACTTACTCATTAAAAAGTAAAAAATACTTGCAATGAAACTCTAAATGAAATAAGTTATGAACTTAATTTTCTTAAAACAAAATTTTAAGAAAACTGATTACAATATAGCCCCCAACGTCCTCAAATTCTTGGTCAAGCATGTCAACTTTAACATGGGTGGGTACCTCTTAAACCAAGTGTGTAAAAACTTGGAAATTCTATTTCAGTTGTTCCTCATCTAGTATCAATATAACTAAATTCATGAGGTCTCCTAAAGGAGAAATCTATACTCTCTCTCCCTTAGTTAATCTCAAGTTTCTGTCTCCCTCAGTACTATTTTTCCAGATGTGCTTGTGCATTCCCGAAGTTAAACAAAAGAAGCCACAGAATAACCCCCCCCCCAGGACTTATTTCACATTTCAAGTATTTTGAACAATGTTGAATATCCGTCAGATGTATAAGTCCAGAAGATCACTTGAAACTTATATTAGTAATTGAACACAAATATGTGATTTAAAGTATATTCAGATAAATACAATATATGTTTATTTACAACTAATAATTGTTAAAACATAAATGATACATGTAAAATTTGTAGAAATTTCGACCGAAAAAGAAATTGATGGAAAGGAGCATGTGACAAAAATAAAAAATACAGATATGGATGAAACATCTAGTTAATCCACAGTAAAGAGTGAACCCAATATAAAACTGACAAAACTGGTAATACATCATTCTCTCTAGTGCCCTGTATGTCCAGTATAATTTATGAGCTGGAAAAATCTAGGAAATATTTCTTAAACATGTCCAGAATATTAAGCGTGGCTGAATTAAGAATAGTACCCTTTTGGTCATTTAACATCATGAATAATGGTTAACCACCAAGTGTGTTTCTTGTCCAAAATGTTCTGGCCACACAAGTTCCCCATTTTTCACTAAAGCTTAAATATATGTTGCTAGATTTTAATGCACAGTTGCTTTTTACATTACAATACATTGTTACATTACAGTAAAACTTGTATATATGAACACCTTTATGATCTGAACACTTCTTATTGTGAATGCTTTCAGGTCTATTTTTATTCTGCCATAGATTACTATGTTAAACAGGGCATTAACATACCAAATGTCACCACATGCCATTTGTTACAGATGCCAACCATAGGACATTGTCCACAAAAAGTTAGAGACAATAGCAATATGTCACCACTTCTGGTGGTGACATAACACTAACAATATGTCACCACTTCTGGTGGTGACATGACAAAATGACCAAATGACATAAACAGTAATTCTGTATTTGTGGTTCCAATTATATTTTTCAGAACTCTCTTCAAGATTTCCTTGAACCCATCGCTATTTGGTTGTGATCATCATTGGTCATATATTGGTTGTGACCATATCAAAATAGAATCCATTTTTATTGAGGAATGTGTGGAAAAGTATACCGTTGTTGTCTTGCTTCATGCCCTTGTGACTGCTCTCTCCCTTATTTGGAGGTGATGTTAACAAGGGTGAGAATGGAGTGTCTAGAGACATGATGCAAGACTTAAATCCTAGGTCACCAGACCAAATGAATGTAAAATGATACACTGGAGCAAAAAGCTTGGAGCAAAAAAGCTATTTACACAAAATATATAATTAAAATCTTACACCAAAGAATATTATTAACAATGCATCAACACATTTCTCAGAATGCAAATAAATTATATAAAATACATATACGGGCCCTGATTAACCTAAATAGATGGCTCTCATAGTTACCAAAGGAGGGTGACAGAACCCAGGTGCCTTATTTATTACTACAGCTTGATCAATCAGGGCATTCTGGGTAATAATTCCCTCTTTGTTGTATGACATTTAACAGACAAATAATATCATGAATTTGGAAATTATTCATGATGCGCTGTGTACATAAGGCTATTGTCTTTATACAAATAGACAACAAAAACATAATTTTATCAATAATTTCAAAAGAATCATTTATTAATGCAAGATTTCAACTCACGGGATAAAGTGAATGATACACCTCAGTGAGTTATTGACTAAAATCATTTTTGGCATGTTTCCCTCGTGAACAAAACGTCAAGGTAGTCATATTTTAAAATGCAAAATAGAGTGGAAAAGAGTGGAATTGGCAAGGAATAAAGTAAACAGGCATGAAGCTGATACTCTAAATTGTATAGAAACATAAAAAATCCAGTATTTTGTTAAGATTTTTTGAGAAAAGCACCGTTAAATAAGAATAACGAGATGAATTTTTAGCCATGATCTCCCGACTGTTCAAACATTGCTGAATTTATTCATCACGGTTCACAAATTAAAAAGCGAACAATATATACACATTGTATAAACGAAACATCAATGATTCTATGATAAAATAAACAGTGCCCATTCATGCTTATAATTATTTTGAAATTAATATCCTGTGAATGGTGACTCAAAAAAATCACATTATCTATTATAGCAAAATGAGACTAAATGATAAATAAACACTTGTTGAATTATTGCTTTATAAAGGCCTATATTAATATAATAAGGTCAAATTCACAAACTTCCATAACTTTTTTCTCTGAGTGTAAAGCTACAAAATCTAGTCTTTTATCCATTTAGATGATCATTAGCAATGCAAGTATCGCTCTATGACTCCACCTACTTGAAATTTTAACAAGGCTTGCACCCATCTGAATACACATTTGCACCCATTTGAAAATTAGAAAATGGCCAATTTTGATCAACCTTAAGACTAAAAATTGTGAAAATGTGAATTTTAAACCCACTTGAGAAAAAATCCCAAGAGAACACAGCAGAAGTTATTTTGTATTTAGTAAAACATGATCATCTTGAAAGTAATGGTTTGACCATCATGAACATTTTTGGTTTGACCATCATGAACATTTTTGGTTTGACCATCATGAACATTTTTGGTTTGACCATCATGAACATTTTTGGTTTGACCATCATAATTGTATTGGCCATCGAGGTTACAACATATAAGTATAATCATTAGAATAAACACACTTTTAAGATATAGTGTATATCTTCAACTTGAGCTTGTTGCTTATTCTTATTTGAACATTCTATCTAAACTTGAGTTTGACTTGAACACAATTTTCACTTGAACATTTTGTTTCAACCCAAGTTCTCTTTTTCAACTTGAGCAGTCTGTTTTGGCATTAACACTACATGTTTATTTCAATGTTAATTTGACTCTATGTTTTATTTCAAACAAAAAATATTCATTCATCTTACCATTGCACAAGTATATTCACAAAAGACAACATTAAAAACTTAAGACAGTAAAAACAGTATTTGCACAAATAACATTAATATACTGTACTACATTTGACAACTAAAATCAAATTTCAAAAAGCCACATAATTAATTCTCTATCGCTAGAAATTGTTCTTTGGGGGTATACCTTACAAACACTCATTGAGATGTCTTACACACTTCTTAAAATGTCAGTATTTGTGTATACAGGGTGGCTCAAACATAGGTTTTCACTTTACAGAAAGATTGTTGAATGAGTGTAAATCTACTTTTTGGCCACCCAGTAAAATAATCCGTGAAGGCTATTTCAGTGTGCATGCTTCACTTTGTGTTAGTTTTTGTTTTCCCCATATTATATTATGAGTTTTTATGTTTGTGTCTCTTGGGTGAGTATTGAGTGACCTTGTGTAGAATTGCCCATCTTCATAATGATTATTGACAATATAGGTGGCTCCGAGGTGAATATGAGCCCTTTCTTGTTCATCTATTTTCAAATTTCATTTGAATATTCCTTCTGCTTTCTTCACATCATAGATCTGAATATACAGTTTTCAGATAAAGTTTGTCATCTTGATTTTGGTTCATCAACTTGAACTCACAACCTCATTGTACATGTTTTCCATGATTTCATCCAATATTTTCGAATCTCTCTAGTTTTACTGCACAGTTTCTGTTGAATCATCTCGCCTCGGACCTGGAACAAAATTTTCAAATTTTACCCATCTCATCTATTCTGGTAATCCTTACTATTTAATTTCCATCCTCCGAACACAGGCCCCTGGAAGATGGAAGGAACGTAGTGGACGATGTCTGGAACCCTGCGTTCGAAGGATGTTCAGTTTCCAGATGAAACACTTTCATGTGGAGAAGAGATGTGAAGTTTTTTTGCAATTGACCTAAACGTGACACGGTCATTGGTTAGTGTTACAAAGCATTTTGACAAAAATCTTTCAAATTGAAGAATTGCACCTCAAAAATCCTTCATTACAAAGCATTTTTGCTGTGTACCATTTACAACTAGAAGAATAACTACACAAGGAGAACAATATCGCACCTCTCAAACAGCATATTTACCAAAAGAGGGGGAGAAACCCCAGGGTTCAAAGATGACATATGCTTATAATGTAAATCTGTATTGAGATGACATCGTCGCTGATTGGTTTAGTGAGTCGATCGTTGATTGGTTTAAAACTAGGTCAATTTGAAAACTTTGAAAACCAAGATGGAGGGAAGTATAAATATACATACTTCCGGGAAAGGAGGTGCACGAAGGAGGAAATCGTATGTCATCAACTGAATCATGGGGTTTTCCCTCCTCTTTTTACAAAGAAAGATCTTTTAAATTTTCAAATCAATCTGTCAAATGCTTTGTCTGGAAATGGGCATACAAGAAATGTGAGTGACACACACTGACAGATGGACATATGTGGTAATCTCAGCAAATGAATAAAATTCCAAGTTAGTAGAGTATTAAAGTCATTTCAAGGTAGCAATGGTGTTCTACTGTAGAACTCTCAGCTTGACCTATTTAGAAAACAGGTGAAGGTCACATTAAAACAATGAACACAATTAGATACATCATAAAATCCAGTGTTTTGTTGACAATGGTTTATTTTGTATACAGCAGAGCTTATGTATCATAAAACACTAAAAAACATATCAAATAAAACAATTGTTACTCTATAAATCTAGATGGCTACCAACTAAAAAAATCACATTCCTAATTAAGGCCTGGCTATGGCCATGCAAACTTCTGAGCAAACCCTGAAGCTGTCCATACGCCCAAGAGAGCAAAGGCCATGAAACAAAGGCCATAAACTCTGAAATGTGATGACCTTGTATAATCTGAATGCAAGGGTCTCATGACAAATTGACATATAGAGCAACTAACAATATGTTTGCGGTGTGATTATACAACTATAAAACTATGGTTGATACCTGATACGGATTTGTTACAACACTTCAATTAGCCAGCGAAAAATATAATAAATCTTAAACACTTTTGAGCAAATAACAAAAAATTAGTAAGGAATAAAAGCCACGGGCATGAAGGACACATATCAATTTGTGATAAAACCAAAAAACTATCTTATTCATTCAGATTTAAAAGAATAAACACATGAAATGATACAAGAGAGATTTTATACGTCGGTGCCGTGGGGTAGTTCTTCATCTAACAATTGTTCCAATGAGTCTAAGTGATTTTTTATGTAGCCACAAATTGGTGGTTAAAAAACGAACGCTGACAATTTGATGGGTTTGAATGCAAGGAACTGTAGTGATGCAACCACGAAGGTTGCGCGGCTGTTATCTCACCAATCAATAGAATTGTTTATTATATTTGTGAAATAGATACCTGTTGATAATTGTGATGTAGCTACCCAGAGCACGTAGACGTATTTGCTGTTCTACTGTTCAATACCAAAGGATTGGAATCGATATGGCAAACTGAATAGAACACATGTTTCTCTTAAACCAGTCATCAAAAAATTCTGAAAATTTTACACAATGTCAATCTTTTGAATGATAACAGTTTAATTTGCAAAAAATATGTACTTTTCTCTACATTGTTTTAGAAAACACATCAGACACTTCTTTTGTTCTTGGTATAATATGTTCGGAATGAAACGAATTATCTATCCCAACCTCATTGGAACAAAACGACATATACACAACGTGTTTAGGTCTCTCAATATTTAATTGTACAATTGAAAGTTTGGTTGATTTAAAAAAAGTATCTTGATTATGAAATATAAGGTTTACTTTAATTTGTATCTATCTTAGTGGGTTTTGTTTTAATTTTTTGAAAACTTTTTGTTGTATCGAACAAATTTTCCTTTCAGAGGTCTAAAAAATGTTGGATATTTTATTTTGTTCCAACAAGGTTCGGAAAGGTATTTTATTTCATTCTCAAGAATTGGTAGAAAAGAACCAAAAACAATGCACTAAAAATCAAAAATAATAGCAAAAGCAGTTATAAAAAATGTCAATCGGTGACCATTACGTTAACATCTGTGCTTTTTTACAAAATATTTTCAATAATTCAGGTTTAAGAGAAAAACAATGTTGAATTCAGTTCGCCATATCCATACCAATCCTTTACATACATGTATAATCTTTTCCACAACAATTGTCATGCTGTTTAATTAGTTATACAAACATGGAACATACACATCTAGAAAGACTTCTTTTAATTGATGATGTTAACATGTGTTGCTAATGACACATGGTTGGTTGTTTTCTTAACTATTATGAGGCATTCATTATCATCTGTTTTATTTTCTTCAAATTATGCAACAAAACTTCAATATTAAACCAAAACACATCTTTCTTGGTTAAGATGATGACGATAAAGTAAAATACTTTTAACATATTTGCGAAATATTTGCATAGTTGTGAGAAGCTATACAAATGTTCTTTGGGAAAATTTCAACCTTTTTTACCTATATAAACTTTTATAGCATTTTTAATATTTTCTTCGGTTAAACAGATATAGAATTGAATGGTTTCCATTAGGACGAGTAAATTAATGTTTGTTTAGTGATGCTAATCAAGCGACCAATCAAGATAATGTGAAAAATTCAATAAACAGAGTTACGCAGAGCATATGGTAAAAAACAGGCTCAAAATATTTGACACACATGCCCAACGTAATTAAATATAATTAGCAAGAGAAGCCACGATTATCTCTTTACTTTAACTAAGATAAGGAAATAGTTTTTTATATAGACCCCAATGTTAAAACATCTTAACAGGTCTATCTGAAAGTATAACATTTCACGAAAATGAAAAAAGTTATTGAAACGAGGCACAAGTTAAATGCTATATATTGTATCAAAATGTCAGAAAACAAAGTTTGTTTCATATTTAAAGAAATATGCCCAAAATAATCACAAATAGATTGTATCTTAAGAAAGGACTAAGTAAACTTGGACATGTTGCTAATTAATACAGACACGCTCCTCAAAGTAGAGATTCAGAAAAGCTGCAATTACCATTGACCATTCTCAAATTCATAAATTATTGTTGTGTAACCAAATAAATTAAATTGTTAACAATTTTGAAGAATCATAAAGTCAAATAAACATTAAGTTCAATTATAAAGCTAGAAAAGTGCAAATACGAAGTCAATATTATTGTGATTGTACTTGGAACTTAGGAAATAAATAAAACAAACAAACAATATATTTCTTATAATCCATGCTAAACAAGAACTATGTGAAAGAAAACCAAACTAATTGACGTGATAACTCATGTTAATAACCCAACCCTCTCATCCAATTTATTCATAACATTTATACAAAAATTGTTAGTTATTGTTTTAAAGTACTGTGCATATTTTTAATAGGTATGTTTTACTACATAGATGTCACTGTAAAAATGCCGCGCTATAATGTTGTATGTGTTTTAGCAAATAAATAAATAAATAAAATACAATTTACAGAATGATCTTCATGATAGCTGTATAGCTAAATTATCAAATCCACGTACGAAAGTGACATCTACGATTATAATTTCTATCAGGGTTACCTTGAATAACAATATCAATAGCTGGGTCATGAATATAGCATTTGATCAACAAATTTCTTGATTAAATATCTTACAAAGACGAAAATAAAAGCCATTGTTAAAGGTTGTCAAGATTCTTAAAGTTGATAAAATTTGGTTATGACTTTGTCTAGTTGTGCTGGTGTCAATGAACTGCATCTATATGATATATTAGATCGTAAAGTTGATGAATGTGATAATAATTGTGAGGAAAAGCATCCAGGATGGCACTTTGAGTATATATACATTAAGAGGACTCTTGGCCCATTAGGCCATTAAGAGAAAACAGTTTTTTGAGTGTGTACCTATTAACCCATCATAGGTAGGAATGTCAGACTGTCATTGGCAAAAACTGTTTGGTCAAATATGTAAAGTTGGTTACTATGTCTTCACACTGATCCAAAATGTGTCGATAAAAAATCATCCTGAAGCACATAGTCTTCTTATAATAAGACTCGCTATTTGGTATCAAAGACATCATAAATGTTAAGTGTTTTTTTTAAATGGGATACTCTAGTTCAGAGAGGTTAAAACAGCATACGTTGATTCAACTAATAGGTTGTAGTTGTTTTATTTTTAGATACAATCAAAATCAAATTGCCATTTTGATACATATCTTAATAAAAATGCCTCAGGAAATATTTTCTTTGGGGAAACCTGATTCTTCAGTTTTTTTTGCTTATTCATTTTTTCTTCATTGTGACATTTAGGCGATTACATCCGAGACATTTTTCATGGATAAGATCATATTGCTAATTTTACTGAACCAGACTAAGGTTAAATGCAATCAGATACTATCATATCCCCGTATTCTGCCATTTCTGACTTCCTTCTAAAATGGCTTTAAAATAAATTGCGTCGTAAATGATCCACACTGCGTCCTAAACACTCTTATTTATGTATTAATTAAATCTTGATAGGGCAACTAACTTCGGGAGTTCATTCGAAAGCAATTTCTGTTAATGCAACGTGTTTTCCTGTTGTCACACGGCTTAACTTTTCAAGTATTTAATGCATTCGTGATTACATTTGAACAAACTAGGGTCTAGGGGTATGGAGACCAACCTTTCTTCGTCAGCCAAGGGTAACCAAGCAAATGTCGATAATTTGTTTTCAACTGTCACTTATTGCTAAGGTGTATTGTAAAACCAGGAAATCTAAGTTAAGTGAACAATCACGCGATCTAGCGTAATTTACCGTAATCTAGCGATATGTTCAGGTAGTGGATTTCCCAGGATAAAATCAGATCCTGGTGATTAAACATTTTCAGAGTTAAAGGATTCTCATTACAAAATACTCTATCATTTGAACATAATGTAAAATGTACATTATATTCTTTTCTTTTACCCCACTCTAAATTATTGGTTGCGTCAAATGAGACAGTTTCAGTTCATTACACAAAGAAATATTGGTTTGCAAAAAATAAAAATTTACAACCATTACCTTTTTATTCTTTCATAAAAAAACTAAAAGCATGATACATTAAAGTATAAAGATAAAGTTGTATCAATGAATTAAAACGTCACATAACAATACGATGCTTTTTAATGACAAAATAGCTACACCTTTAAGCTCTTGAAAATGTGAATAGACAACCAGTCCATAAAACACTTCAAATTGGAAACATACAAATCAGAATAAAGGAATAAATAATATGTCCAGCTCAAATTATAAGCATAAATGTGAGTAGATGAGAATACATTAAAACTCTGGATTGTCAAAAATCTAAGTATTCACTGAATTTGCTGAGTTGTTTACGAGAAATAATTTAAATAGAGTTAAAAGGAGTAATCTTTTAAAAACGGGTCGGATGCCATTTGCAGGTAGAATGTATTCCAAACAGTCGTAGACACGGGTCATTTAGTTTCAAAAATGGAACTATGAAAACATTAAAAGGCTATTTGGGGATTTAACCCTATCAATTAACGCATTTAAGATGAGTCGGAATTACCAAAAATCAGTTTGCTGCGGGGAAAGTTCTCCTAATGATACTTTAAAGAGGGAGTTCTGGGTAGTGACGACTCTCTTTGAATATATAAACTCCCATGTATAAACTATAACTGGTTGTGAAAACCAACAAGGTGATCATGGTTTGAAATGTGAAATAAAGTGAACAAGAGTGAAATGAGCAAGGAATAAACCAAACAGACATGTAGTTGACAATCGAAATGGAATAGAAATCAATAATTTCCACCAGGTTTTTTTTCAGCAGGGTGTTTTATTCTCATTATACTATTTTGGTCAAAATATCTCAACTGTTCACCCTTTTGGCAGGGTGCCAATAGATTTTTCAAAAGAGTAGCACATAATTTTGAAATCTTAGAAAAGGTGCATTACTTGATATAACTCTAAAGATAATGAGATGACTGGAAATATGAAAAATATATGAAAAGATGAGAAAATACCTATTTGATTCTGTATCAACATTTAGCCAATGTAGGTTCAAATGATTTCTTGTAGTAGACAAATGATTCAGATATCATTCCCGTATAAAACGATACTTGGTACAAAACATATCAATCTTCTAACCCATTCTTTAATGACCTCATTAATACATAAAAATCTCCTGAATTTGATCTGATAAAATATTCCCATGATAACCATCAAAACTAATTCAATAAACAACAGTAAAACTTGACCAAAAGCTCCAATAACCATTCATAAGCGCAAATTGATGAAAATGTCACAACAATGACAACCACAAATAAAGAACTTTGTCTTATCAAAGTTAATTTAATATCATGGAGTATCAATAGTAAAGTCTGGGAGTTAATTAAAGAACAGAGCCCCAAAATATGACCAGGGTTTGATAAATGGGGTCGGGCTAAGCGGACAGATTTTGACAAAGGCCAATGTACCCCAAGTCCATATTCGGACAATGGCGGTCCATTTAATGCTCTGCATAATGTCCCCTCCTTTATTATGTCTGATATCAGCCACCTACCACCCCTCTGAAAAATTCATCGTATCCTGGATAATTCTACAAAATTCTCGTCAAAATTAAGGATGAAAACCTAAATTTTTTAAATCTTGGAAAACCTGTTCTTTACTCTATTTTTGATAAATGCATTCCTTGCAATTTTCTCTCAAAACAAGAAAATGAATAGTAATCAAGGTAATATTTTCACAGGTAAATTGTCCCATCTACGGAATACATATTATATTAATACTCAGTATTACCAGGCAAAAAATACATAGGAAATATATTGAATGTAAAACAGAGAGGACTAAGTAACAAATAAAAAATATCCGCATCTAGTAAAGCATCCTAATTTGCATAGATATGCAAAAGATAAAACCTTCATTTGAATAAAATGAATAGAAATCATAATAAGTTACTAAATGCAAAATTGAAATTTGAAAATGGGTTTGAAAAATATGGTGCTCATTTACAATACTCATTGGTCATTTTCCTCTTTGATGACCAATCAATGGTTTCCATACCGATTTAAGTGTGGTTTGAAATGAATCGCTACTTAGGTTCCCACAGTAAACCGAGTCATATAAATTCTACTTTAAATTGAATTCTTTACAAAATATATTGAATCTCTAATTTATAATTTATAATCTCTAGCTTATAATTGAATCCAAATACATATCATAACAACCAAGTTTTCGAGTTCCCATGTCTAAAGTTTAGCAGATTGATGTGTAGATTTCTAACCATAATTACTTGGAAATATAGGAATTATCCCATATGAGGTTCAGGATACTGAAATTATCCAAAGGCAAATCAGATATATCCACCAGTTCAGGTGGGATGTATAGAGATTATCCTATATGAGGTTCAGGATATTGGGATTATCCCGAGGCCAATATAATATATTTGCCCGAGGGCCGTAGGTCCCGAGGGAAAATATATTATATTGGCCAAGGGATAATCCCAATATCCTGAACCGACTATAGGATAATATGTTTATCCCATACCAATCTTGGTCATCTGGTTCACATTGTTCAATCGTGGAAATATTTTAGAATATTCATGTCCAGTTTTGTTTTCTTGGCCGTGGGCGGGTTTTCCTGTTCCCTCAAATATTCCACCATTTATTTTCTCGAATTTTTGATTGATTAAGTGGATGCTCCTTCCCTTTTTAAACCATCAAACAGATCCCGATTGTTTGTGTTTTCTCCATTGTCGTGTACAGTCATAACGCGAACGTTACAAATTATGAACAAATATGCGAGCGGCGATTATGACGTAGCGGGCAGATATACTATATCTGCCCGCTCAGAGCGGGACGTATAGCTATATCTGCCCGCTGATGAAAATATAAGTTTTTACAAACCGGCTTTATGTACCTGTAACACGTCCAAGTATGGGATAAAAAGCTATATTCTGCACTCTGTTGACAGGGTATGTGATATAAAATTGCAAAGATAGCAATAAATAAATAAATAAAAAAACGAATAATTATATAAAAATAATAACTTAAAAATAAGTTTATACTAACATGGAATAATGCAAAAACAATAATCAGGGGGCCATTAACAGAAACTTCATAAAATTACGAATTCGTAAAGTCCATTGTTCTCTTACTATGACATCATTATTTCCATGGTAACAACAATTGATTTATGAATTCATAACTTTACAAAGTTTAATGACCCCCAGGTAAACATGCATAAATTACAAACTATCATTATTTATAAAACTATGTATATATTGTTTTATTATTTAATGAATAATAATGTGTGTGTATAACATTCATGTTTATATGTTATGATAGAAGCCCCATAAAACATATGAATAATATGATATATTTTAGTATAGAGGGATTGAATAACAATTCAAATATGAAAATAAAAACACCACAGGTCTGAACATTTTAAAATACTTCATTTTTCTCAATGTATGAACATAGATAATGCATGGTAGATGCATTGCCAATGCATGAGTTAAGCATGACTGATGCATGGGAAAACTTATCTACAGGGTGGGACAACAAAAATGAGAACTTGTGTGTATTCATTTGACATTTTTCTTTTTAAGTTTACAATATATTAATATTGATTGCTATGGTTTAAAATCTTTTATATGCATGCCTTCTTCAAATATTGTCCTTTACATTATGTTTTTTTCATAAAATATTAGAAACTATAACAACGTATAAAATTCTCTGATTTTTTGACTCACCCTATGCTTATATACTTACTTTATATGTTAGCAGAGACTAAGATGTCTTCACACAGGCGTTTATAATGCCATGTGTCTCCCTTGACGCGCTTCCTCCTCACCCCCATAGCTTCAGTCTTAGGGAGCTGGCAGACTTCTAAATCGAATGCAAGGTGTACTTTGCCCCAGTCATCCATCACGCTACATCTGAGGGTGTATCTGCAACCATATAAGGGCAGGTAAGCAGTTAAATCTTGGAAGGTGGAATGCCTTTGGTACCTTGGAATAGTGTTCCACTGGCGAGGCATTTAGCAGAGATGCTCAACTTAACAGGATTCTCTGTACTCGTTTCAATGTTTTAACATGGAAATTTCTTGATATTTCCTTCACTTTTCAATGACCAACCTCAGGCGTTATTTTGCTTTGGCAAAAAAGTACATCATATCTTTAAATCAAGGTAACACTGCGCCCTTATAAAAAGAGGTAATATATGTATCTAAGGGACTTTCCCTAAATGATTCAAAAACCTTTAGGGAAGGGATGGATTTCTTATGGAATGTATTATAATAGTCCCGCAGCATACAAGCCTGAAAGAGTACTCTGATTTAGAGTTGATGTTATTCAAGGTGAGTTACAAACTGAAAGTGATTATGCCTTTTTTCAGTGGTTATCTCGTATGTATGAAAAATAACAATGTGCCACCTACCCGACTTGTTTGTAGTGGACCCTCTTGTCTGTGATTGCTTCTTTCAATTTGTCCATGACCCCATCAGCATTATAGTATGTTGTGTTGGATACATTCTGCATTGGCTGAAATACAAAGAAATAAGAATCTGTATCAGCTGATATACAAAGAAACAAGTCGGTATCAGCTGAAATACAAAGAAACAAGTCTGTATCAGCTGAAATACAAAGAAACAAGAGTCTGTATCAGATGAAATACATAGAAACAAGTCTGTATCAGCTGAAATACATCGAAACAAAAGTCTGTATCAGCTGAAATACAAAGAAACAAAAGTCTGTATCAGCTGAAATACAAAGAAACAAGTCTGTATCAGCTGAAATACAAAGAAACAAAGAGTCAAGCATAATGTTTTAAAAACAAAACATATTCTTAAATCATTCTTCTGAAATTAAACGTTTCACACCAAGTGCCCGTGTTTACCCATCAAACCTTCCTTAATTTGGAGTAGATAACAATGGAAGACCAGAGATTATGTACAAGAGTGAATCAACTGAAATCTGAAAAAAACCCAATAAAGTAGAACTTATTGATAGTTGCAATTTGATTGGTTCAAAAATGGCTAGTATGTTATACCATTACATGAAGCAGCATAGATGGTCATTTTCATTTTAATAGACTTCTACACAAATTGAAACCAATCGATACCCAAAAATATGATGTTCTAGTGGTCAATATCATATGCAAGTGCTATTTTCAATCTAACCCAATTTCTTAAGTTGGCATAGTGTGCATTTGAAACTACAAATTGCAAAGAACAGAAAATAATCTCAAAACACTGGATATTATTCAGTTTTAGAGCATAAAAATAAGACCAGATTTGTATTTCAAACTCAGGCAGGGAAGATGATGAATATGATTTCAAAGCATATAATCCAGTGGGAAATTAGCAATAAGTGGGCAGTGATTCTACTGTTTGCCTAGTTGTCTGCTGTATGCATTCATATAGTTATATGACGTACAATGGATCATTAGGTTTCACGAAACATTGTTCACAAAGATAACCCAAAATGTTTTGTTGTTACCTTGTAGGCATCATAATAGTGATTCGATGAACACTGAAGAGGGGGCAGAGGCAATTTTCTTTTGTTAAATGACAAGTAATGTTGTTCTAAGGAATTTTGCAACTTTTTCCATTCATTATTTTGTCTATTTTCAGAAATTCTGATGAAAACATGATGTCATAAAAATGCAAAATACCCATTTAAAATTCTTTAATGAGGATCTTTATTGAGGAATGATGCATTGTTTGTTTTTAGAAATACATAAGTGGTATATCGTATTTATTTGCAAATGATATGCCATCTTTACAGACAAGTTCAGACATTTATGCATGCACGCCATCTTTCATTCTAAGCAAGAAAGAATTGTTATTGTATGAATTAAATGGACATATTCAATATTTAAATGTTGTCTCAAAACACAGGAAGGGGTGGATTTTTGACAGAAATTGGGCTATCCTATCCCCTTACCTGGTAGCAAGCAATCTAAATTGTCAATTTCCCCATGCTATGAACAATAATGGCTGATCAAATAGGAGTCAAAATTCTAATAATTTCCGACCCCCACAACTTACACAAACCTTTGAATGGTGCATAATCAAAACATAATGGATCTTTAATCCCTCCACCTCACAATCAATTACGGACATACTTGTACATATATAGGGTGTCTCAAAAAAATGTACCCAAAAGTATATCAACACCATAGACAAACCAATCAATATTTTCAGATATTTTTTGCATGGTCTTGTAGATAAAAGATGAAAGTTTTTTCCCATATACACAGTTTTTAATTCAGTTTTGCCTTTTTAATACTTTAACCTGTTACCTTTTGCACCACATATTCAATGTAACCTCATATTTCGATGACAGTCTGCATCCTTACTACTACATTGTTCATCACATTTGATATTTCTGGTGGAATGTTTTAATTTCTGTTCGGATGTTGGTCTTAAGTTGTTCTAGGTCTCTTAGCTTGGGTTTAGCATAAAAATGGTCCTTCAAATAGCCTCAGAGAAAAAAGTATGGGCCGTTAAATATGGTTAATAGGGAGGCCCCCACAATGTTTTATAGCCCCCTTATACAAAGAGGTCAGAGGATCAAGAAACTGCATTGGTTGGGATTCTAGAGTAGCTTTAGTTGTGTGTATCAATTTGAGACCACTGTGTTTTCATTTGGATATCATTTGGTCTCCAGGCTAGCCTGCATAACTCTGGAAGGTAACTCCTGAATCATTTGCCGATAATTGACCAGATTATCTGTGTTTGTTCTGCCATAGTCATCCTCGAACATCTTTCTCTGTGGCTACTTGAGGGAGTGTTTTAATGCTCATTCCAAGCAAAAAGACCTAGAACAACTTAAGGGCAACATCCAAAGAGAAATCCAAAACATTCCACCGGAATTATTATCAAATATGATGAACAATGTAGCAGTGAAGATAAAGGCTGTCATCGAAATATGAGGTTACATCGATTATGTGGTGTAAAAGGTAAAGGGTTAAAGCATCAAGAAGACAAGACTGAAATAAAAATGGTGTATTGGGGAGAAAACTTTCAAGTTTTGGCAACATGACTATGCAAAAAATGTCTGAAAATATTGATTGGTTTATCTGTGCTCTTGATATACTTTTGGGTAAATTTTTTTGAGACACCCTGTATATTATTGATCCCTTCTGTAATTAGACATTTCTCTGAACATACCTTGACTTTCCTAGGCCCATCCGCATTCTTTTTTCTTGGTGTTAACATGTTGATCATTTTGTTCAGTCCCTTCTCAATACTACCAAAGCCCTTGCGTTTACTGGGGGTGTCAAAACCGCTACTTCGATCACTGGTCCTGTCCAGTCCACCGTCCATGGAAGAACACCTAGAGATAGAAAATTTATAAATTATTAATTAATAGAGAAAATTAAGGTCTCGTCACAATTGATTTAATATTTATAATACAATACAACTTATAAATATAAGGTAAGGTGTTCTCACAATTTAGATGTACAGGTTTAACTGTAGATATGTGTTGAATGTAGACAGATGTTTCTATGTTTGTCCATTACTTCAATACATTTAAGAGTTGGAGGATTAGTAGCACAATATGTAGGTATGATTGGTTGACATAGTTTTTTATTTGCGAAGTGAACCTTATTCTTACGTGTGCATGGAATAAGCAAGTACTGAAAAATTATGTTAAAACATTGCATTAGATAATTATGTACATTTGTAATCATTACATTTTTAAATATTCCATACAATTATTCTGTACAGTTCAACTATTCCTCAAATGTAAAATTAAGTGATATATCAAGGAAAAGCTAGCTATGATAATCTACCAAAGAAAAGATTTTAGGAGAAACTAGCTGGTGTAAGCTACAGTAAGACTATTTTGCAAAAAAACAATGTTTCAAAACCTTGTTTGCCCCTGTTATTACAATAATGAGTGTTTTCAGAATCTTTAACAAGTTTTACTGTAATTTAGGTAAAGCCACAACCTATAAAGAAATAAACAAAAGGTAAGCATTTAACAATTAACGCATATCCGAAGCACCCCTTGAGCCACATTAGGCAACACTATATGAACAAGTTAATACTATGAACAGGTTAACTTAGCCAAAGCGCTTGTACTCTGAAACCAATACCTATCATTTTCAGGCCAGATATTAAATTTTATGTCATTTCGAATGGGTGTAATAATTTCATCATCTGATACAAAATCAGATCCTGAATCTATCTCTAGCTCTGAAGCCTCACTGTCAGAGACCTCTGGTGTCTCAGAGTAGAACTTGCTGGGAGGATTTAAAGTTTCCCTGAAATGAATTATACAAGAACTATCAATTGAAACTAAACTAGCCAAGAATCCTATGATATTGCAATATCTCTTTTCTAATCTAACAGCAATAAAAAAAAAGAAGAAAACAGAATAAAAATGTAAGAAAAAAATGAGGAAATGTTCTATTCTACATGCATACAACAATAAAAGCAACCAGTATCCAAATAAAGATACATCTTTAGATCTGGTGGTAGTACAGAAAATTTCAGTTTAAAATTGTTGCACTGTTATTCAAAAGTTCTTGTTCGATTAAATCTATTCACGGGTTCTGGTCTTCAAATGTCATCAATTACATTCTTCCCAAACATCAATATTTTGAAACAATCCCAAGAACTTAATATAACAATGTGAAACTGAATTGTCTAAAGGTAAGGTATACAAGGCATTAACATGCAAAATGTCACCACATGCCATTTGTTACAGATGCCAACCACAGAACACCAAACGCCTAATGCTGAACACCAACCACTGATCACCATCCACACAAAAATATTTAGAGACTATAACAATATGTCACAAGTTGTGGTGGTGACATAAAAATGCCTAGACTGAGTACAGTCCAATATTCTTAATTCGCTTACTTGTTTGTGGCGCTGACTGGGGTTTTGGTTGGAGTGTTCATTGCAATAGCATTCAGCTGGGAATCCATAGAGCGTGATGGCGACAACGTTGAATTGATTAAATGATCATCTGTCTTTTGTTTGCTTGGTGCTAAAATAAATATACAGCTAGTTTCAGCTACTCTTCAATTTAGTAAATGGAGTTTAATTTATAAATTCATAAACTTCGGGAGATTATTCAAAAGTTTGATATTAGACACAAAACCGTAATGTGGTGGCTTCCTACAGGATTTATGATTGATAACTTATAATGAGTTTGAATATTAAAATATGCAAAACTGACAAAGGCATGTGTTTTTCATTTCAACGTTTTAATTGAAAAATTTATTTATTTATTTAATTATTAGCTGGCATTGCTCAGCTTTATTATGAGAATTTGGGTCCTTAGTTATGAAATTATGACGGTTATATATTCCCGATAAAATCAATTATGAGAGTAGATACTCACTGTTTAACATATTAGATAAAGGAGTGGTAGGTGACCTATGAACTCTTCTCTTTTGTGTTGAAGATGGACTCTTAGTGCGCTTAGGCTTGGGGGTCCTCGGAGTCTGAGGCACAATGAAATTTTCTTTCCCCTCATTATCGCTACTGTCTGTCTCGAGTCGTCTCCTCACCGATCTGTTTACCTTAACTGTGTTGAACATTGGCGAGGCGAATGGGTCACTATTACTCTGGTTCAGTGCCTTGTTCTGGAATGAATCAAAAAGGCATGTATTTTGTGTGAGGAAAATAGATGGCAATAGGGCAGTTGGAACCATCTTGAGGTTGTAGCGCAGGTCTTCGATTTGTTTACCTTATCTGTGTTGAACATTGGAGAACATTGGAGAAGTCTATTTAGTGTGAGGAAAATAGATGGCCATTAGGGCAGTTGGAACCATCTTGAGGTTGTAGCGCAGGTCTTCGATTTGTTTACCTTAACTGTGTTGAACATTGGAGAACATTGGAGAAGTCTATTTAGTGTGAGGAAAATAGATGGCCATTAGGGCAGTTGGAACCATCTTGAGGTTGTAGCGCAGGTCTTCGATTTGTTTACCTTAACTGTGTTGAACATTGGAGAACATTGGAGAAGTCTATTTAGTGTGAGGAAAATAGATGGCCATTAGGGCAGTTGGAACCATCTTGAGGTTGTAGCGCAGGTCTTCGATTTGTTTACCTTAACTGTGTTGAACATTGGAGAACATTGGAGAAGTCTATTTAGTGTGAGGAAACTAGATGGGCATTAGGGCAGTTGGAACCATCTTGAGGTTGTAGCGCAGGTCTTCGATTTGTTTACCTTAACTGTGTTGAACATTGGAGAACATTGGAGAAGTCTATTTAGTGTGAGGAAAATAGATGGGCATTAGGGCAGTTAAAGCCCAAGAATCTCCAGTTTTTAGCCTCAATGTCCATGGCATAGGATTTGATACATTGAACCTAATCATCTTCTGATATTACCATGACCATGAAATTCGATATACCAGAAAAATATCTTCACTTTCAATCTTTGGAAAACAGAGCATGGCTTTAAGTGTTTACATACTGGTGAGCGGTACCCCTAATATATACCTTGTTTTCTTTAGTGTATAGTACCGGTACATGCCTGATTGTTTTCTTTGTACATACCTTATTGTTTCTTTGAGTACATACCTTATTGTTTTCTTTGAGTACATACCTTATTGTTTTCTTTGAGTACATGATACATACCTTATTGTTTTCTTTGAGTGTTTTCTTCTGTTGTAGAAGTCTGATGGGTTTATTGCAAGTTTTTTTGTTCAATAGCAGCAGATAGGTGGCAGTAAGGTAGTTATACTTCCACTGGAATATTAACAAAAAAATTATTGAAATAATCTCTTTTTTATAAGGGTGTCAAAGGTTTAAAAAAATCATTTATAGTCAGTATTACTCCAATGTCAAAACAGTAAAATTTTATATGTACTGAAGGCTTTTTAACAACAGCAATTAACATTGCCTATTTTGGAATTTTGTCACTGTTTTGCCTATTTTGGAATTTTTTTTTTTTAGGTTATTGCTATTTATTTCTATATAATTCAAACGATTACAATTTCACTTTTTCAACTTTTTCTGTCATTTCATTACTTTTGCCTGTTAAGAAAGCCTTTGTTAGAACAATTTGAAGAAATTCTCAAATGAAATCAACTAACCTCTGATAGCTGTTCTTTCATTTCTTTCTTGGTCTGACCATAATGGACAGCGAGTTCAGTGACACAGTCCTCATCAAGGTGTTCAAATGTCTGCAAAAAGGAAACACAATTTAGTAAGATATCTCACAAAATACATACACTGTGTGCAGGGTCTAGTTATAAACTACCCTCTGCTTAGTATAGACTATATTACAGTTTAGCTGCCCTGCCCCAAAGATTAGTGCCTGTGACAGCCCAGGTAATAAATTATTTCAAATCTACCACCCTTACCCTTTCTCAACCAATCAGCGAAGTGGAAGGAACACATGATCATTAACTATGCGGTGATGTCAGAGAAAATTGCCATATAGAAATTCGTCTGTATTTCTCGGTGAGATCAGAGTTTTATTGTAAATTGAGAGTGAAGACAAGCATTCTTTTAAGAAGTGAAGTCAAACAAATGCAAAGGGTACAAAATACATTGTTAGTACCTCAAATGAAATACTCAATTCAAGGTTTACAAGGTCAGTATACAATTTTGCCAGTTGACCTCAAGAGAGGTCTACAATTGTATATTGTGTTTTGAATTACTTTCTCCAACACCAGTCCTAGGAGTGAAACATTGTTCAAAAAGAAATCAAGTTTGGGAAAAAACATTCTGCTTTTCTCTATTTTTTTACTTATCACCGTTTGACATCTTTCTGAGCCTCTTATCCTACACTCTGAGCTAAAAATTCAAGAATGTTCTCCTTTTGACCTTATATTATGAGCTGCAATCTCTCCTGTTTACCTTATATTTTGAGCTATAATCTACGGGAATGTTCTCCTGTTTCAGTAACCAGGGGTGTGTCAGCAGCTGCTGGACTGTGATTCGTCGTTTTGGATCGACTTGAAGAAGTGCATCCAAAATCTGTATACTCTCCTTGGACAGCCAACTTGGAAGATCATAGCGACCACTCTAAAATGAAGATGAATAAAAGTCAATTCCTGAAAAAGTTTTATAAAAGTTGATATCTTTTGATGAATCCATTAATATATTCTACGTGTACAGGGACCCCAAGTAGTCTAGTTATCTATTATTATCATTTTGGGTTATAATGTAACTTGTACAACACTGATCATGTACTGTGTTCTTTCATAGTTTGAAATGAGATTATAATAATTTTGAAATAATAACAGAAATTATTTAATGTTTTTTTGACAAAAAGTAAAATAAACAAACTTATTTGTAATATACTCCTGTGTTGTCAACAGTAAATGTGACATTTTGGATTCCATCATTAAAAATACTAAAAGAAACTGATCGCAATATTCCAACAAAATTTTCAAAATCCTCATTTTGGTGCTCATAAATTAGTAGCTGGTTGATTCTAAAAAGCTCAAATGGGTGCATTAATCATTTATTTCAATGGAGATCACTATTAACTTTCACGATTCATGAAAACATGATTGCCCAATTGAACATATTGGCATTCAGTCCATTGCCCAGAGGGCAACTGTTTTTCCAAGTTCATTGCCAAGAGAGAAAATTGGTTGCCATTGGCAGGAAGGCAGTTGGGAGTTTTAAACTCTGTTGCAACATTACTGAGTTCAGGATGAAGGTTGAAAACATGATTCAGCACATTCAGCACATTGCCCAATAGACATTTTATTTTTCCAACCCCATTGCCAAGAGTGAAAATTGATGCCCAGTGGCAGTCAGGCAGCGGTGAGTTTTTTTTGTAACTTACTGCTATTTTCTTGTACAAAGATGCAATATTTTCATCATCAAAAGGCAGAAAGCCACACAGCAAAGCATACAGCAGAATTCCCATACTCCACAGATCAGCCTAGAAAAGAACAAGAACATCTCATTAACAAGACAAAATGTCACCACCCCATGTAATGATCTGTTACAAATGCACAGCTCTAGTCTAAAAAAATGATGAGTGTAGACAATGTCACTATTTCTAAGTGGAGACATAAAAGGATGAGGTAAAAATAATCTAGACTAGGATTAGCATAACAAAATGTTGGTCTGTGTGTGTAAAAGTATGCAAGACTTCTCAGTGGGTTAAAAATAATAGAGTTCGCAGTAATTTGCTTTCAAAGTGGATTTATGATCAGTAATAGATTTTTTCAATGAAATGAGGAACTGATTAAACCAAACTTAGTACAGAGGGCCATAGTTTAAACTGAGCTATATGATTTATACCTCATTTCCCTGGTATTCCTTCCCAGCGATCAACTCTGGTGCAGCGTAGGCAGGGCTGCCACAACATGTGAACAATTGGTGATCTATACCTCCCTACAATATAAAACATAGAGGTAATGAAAATGACTATGGCTAGAGTAACCAAACTCGTCTGGCCCAATTATCTACTCCTGACGTCGTAGATCTATGACTTCAGGAGTAGATAACTGGGCCAGATGGGTTTCGTTATGCCTAGAGCTGATGTGAAAAAGAAGTACTCTGCCATTAAGCCAACAGTACCAGATGACTTTTCCACATCAACAAGCATTGCTGTCGTGTCTTACACACCCAGTTTACTGGACACTTTATTAGTTTACCTGTCTTTCTAGATTGTCAATCATACTATTCATGAATGGTATATAGTCAGTAATAATAAAAAAGTAGCGGCCTTGAATAAGTCAAGACAGAAATGGTCAGGGTACTCAGCAGGAGATCCAAGACGTCATTTCCATTGTTCTTTCGGCAAAATCGCGTAGTAATCTACGGTGATCAGTCCATTTAAATTTCACGCTTTTGAACGTCATGGTGTATACATGCATTTCTAATCGATCATATCTCAGTCAATATTTATCATTATATTATAAATTTGATAATTAATGAAAGCTTATAACCAGGGCATTACGTATGTGAATTTATTATTTTGATCAGATAAAATACCAACCAGTTACGGGTGCTAAAGTTTTGACATATTTTTCATTAAAAATGCAGAAATGTGTATCATTTTCGCGGGTTAAATAGGCTATTAAAACAAGTCGGGTTAAAAAATGTTTTTCACTCATCATTTAGCCCGCATCGAGCTCTTTCCAATGGTATAATTGTTTTTTTCTGAAACCCCTGAAGACAAATTTCTGCCAACTTTCTGTAACGACGAGTGAAAAATCATGGTTTTTCCCGCAAACCAATGACGTCGTATTTCTCGATTTTTATACCAAGATTAGATTTGATACGCGTATGATATTTGTTCACGGTCATATCTCGGTCAATATTCGTCATTGAATGATCATTTTTATAGTTAATGAAAGCTTATTACAAGGGCAATGCGCATATGGATAAGTTATTTCGACCCGATTAAATACCACCCAGCTACGGGTACAAACGTGTAAAACATTTTTTCACAGAAATTCACTGAAAATGCACAAATGTGTATCACATTCGCGCGTTAATTGGGCTATTAAATCTCGTTGAGTTAAAAAATGTTTTTCGCTCTACATTTAGCCCACAATGAGCTCTCTCCAATGGTACGATTGTTTTTTTCTGAAACCTCTGAAGACAAATTTCTGCCAACTTTCTGTAACGACGAGTGAAAAATCATGGTTTTTACCGCAAACCAATGACGACGTCGTATTTCTCGATTTTTAAACCAAGATTAGATTTGATACGCGTATGTATTTGTTCATGGCCATATCTCGGTCAATATGCATTAATGATTAAGTATGAATCTAATACAACATAAAAGAGTATCACAAGCACATCACATTGATGGACTTATTACATATGATCCGATGGAATGCAGCCAATAAAACCAGGTTACGTGTTACCGTTCTTCACGCCAAATGCGTAAATGTGACTCGTTTTAGCGCATTAATTGAAGCATGGTTGGACATCAGTAAGAATTCTTTTCCAACTTTGAACAATGAAAGTCAAAATACCCGGCTTTTAATTTTACGTTGTGAGGTCGGCGGCCGTCTCTATTTCTCGATTTGTCGAATGAGGGAATACATTCTATAATTGTGCAATCATTGCTCGCTGTGTATTTAAATCGATTTTATATCAAGACCGGACACCGGATATCACGACGATGAATAAATATCCGAATTAAGCGCATTATTTCGAAGGCATGTTTTATTCGAAAATGATCAGCTCACGTATACATATTCATTCATAGCATAATGACCCCTGTTTAGTCTCGGATGAGCTGTGAATGCCTTCTGTGCCCGGCTTCAATTCAACAATTCTGCCGACGCCCCTAAGTCAACACGCTATTAAAAATCATCCAATAAAACCGCTATCAGGCTATGCAGATATAAATTTTCGAAAACACTATCTCGACAGATTGGTTTTAAAAAACATTGTACTGGTTATTTCAGCATTATGTTCCGAGGAGCCACTCACCTAATAGCCATAATTTGTAAATTGTGCATCCTCAGTCTGTCAGCCGCTTAGCGTATGGATCAGTGACGCTGACCGCATATTGCACCTTTTATAATTTGTAGCAGTTTGCACAACGTCGACGTGCAACTAGTTGGTGCAAGGAGGGTTGACTCCAAGAATTTCATTTTTGGAATGTTTCGATAGGAAATAAGACCAAAATTCACGATCCAAATGTTGAAGTGAACAAATGGCGGCTGTTGGAATTCGAATTTTGAAGCACATTCCCATATATGAGACAGAATATGGATATTGCACTCTGGGAGGCAATCTTCCTTGCCCTTAGGAAAATCAATAGTACATCGACTTTATTTATTTAATAATTGAAAGGAAGTGAAGTTAACGAAATATTCGAATACAATACATACTGCCGAAAAAGCACATTTATTTCGTGGTTATTTAAAGGACCGCGAGTTGTTTGTAGAATGAATCTAGGGAGCTTGTTCATGCATTCCACTTGTGTTTTTCATCTAAAAAACATCAATACACTTTAAAACACTATGTAACAATACTTGGGTGTTAATCCATAGATAATACTTGAAAATGAGATATTTTTGGGGATTATATGGTGCAATCTTAAAGTCAATTAAATGTTTTAAAGTGTATCATTCTACAAACAACTCACGGTCCTTTACCCTACAAAACTCCCCTACCCTTCCGTGTTTTCCTGACGTTTTCACGAACCTTCCCTGTTCCACCTAACAAGACTCTTTTCCCCTATTGCTATACCCGTATACTGGTATACTGCCCATAGATCTGTGCACAGGAGTTTCACACGGAAAATGAACTTATTTTAGGAAATATTGTGGAAAAAATTATACATAGTAAATAATTTCTCAACAATATAGGCTGACCGTTGAATGCAATTATTCATTTATTTCATTTCATCAATACTAGTAATCATAAAATCATGACGCTGACATGCCAGCATGCTGACATGGTTTTAATTCTAAAAATTAAGATAAAGTGCAGTTATATAGTACCAAATAATATTCATTCATAATATGCTAGGCTATGGAACAAATACTCAGTAATATGTCTTTTGTGGAGATCAATTCTGAAAAAGAGGGGTGGACCCCCAGAGCTTTAGCGATGACTGATATATTAGTCTCCTGCCTACCACCTACCATGAGTCTGGGTATCGACTTAGAAAATATTGAAAATTGTAATGTCTGATAAACCAACTCAATCACACATATTATTAAACTTCAATATCTTATCCTTCTATTCTGAGATTACAAAAATATCAATTTGTATCACAATTGATGAAGAATATTGGCATCAAAGACAAATCAATGGCAAATATTAAATGAATTATATTTGTATTCATCAGTGTACTGCACTAATATTTTTTTGCGAAAAATCTAGAAATATTACCCAAATTAAATTATGACTATTGAAAAGAGGACATTTAAATCTATATTATGTAAAAAAAATCAAATTTGTCCGAAGCAGGGATAATGCTCATTTAGATTGATGAACTTCGTTCTCCAAACCGAGAATCGTCCTTTACACATATTTCAGTCAAATTCATGCTGAGCACAACATTTTGGTTTCAATATTATAATCTCTATACATGACCCTGGTGATGAAGATTCAGAATCAGTCAAAAAACCTAAACCGGAAAACTGTGCTCATTGTGCAAAACTAAAAGTGAAGCAACTTTTTTTCTGATATTTCTTACATCAAATGGCAGCCATCTTGTTTTTCCCCCTTCAAATTAAACTGGCGGGAAATTCAAAAATTTGAAAAAAATTTTAATCCTAAAATACATTTCAAAAATATGATTTTCTTTTTAATTCTTCATGGGTTATTTCTCCTTTGTATGTCATACATGTTGCCATTGGTGTTTTTTCTATTATAATGACCCTCTTTATTTGTTCAGATATTTATTCTGACTCTCAGCAGGGGGTTAATTTTGCATCAAAACTCGTGAAAAAGTAAATATACTTATCAAATATAACTAGGACAGTAATAAAAACCATATTTCACATACATTTGACTGAGGGACCAAAAGGGCATATATCCGGACACATCCTTCTCACGAGTTAGTTTTCTAATATTACACGTCGTTGTGATGTTTTAATGGATGTAAGCATATTCATTACGCTTTTCTTTATCTTGATGTGAAAATCAAAGCTATGATGTTATTAGAAAATTTGAATCCGCCATTTTTGTTTATCGATTTGGACCAATCAGAGGTGTACCAACTGTACGTCATCGCAATACATGTTTACATTATAAATGTAGTCACCTTTGAACTCTGAGGTTAATCCCCCTCCCCCCCCCCCCCGATTCTGAAATATCTATGAATGAATACTCAGTAAACATGTGTATGGTAATATTTCTCAAATGTAAAGATTCTATTCTATGTTCTCTCAATGACAAATAATGATTTAGACATTCTTATCAGAAGCTTATTCCATGGCTCAAAGGTTCAAACTAACAATTATGCTATTAGACAGTGTTGTGTATGTAGTACAGTATCACAGCAGTGTAGTATAGCAGACAGCTCCAAGAGATACCTCAATCTCCCAATTCTTGATGGGCCAAGATTTACTGTATAACATAACACAAATCATTGTAATTTGTTGAGCTACTCCAGAAGATCATACTACTGCACATATTATCCACTGTCTATTTAAATTTTTCATTGAAACGAATCAGGAAGACTGGCAGTGTCATTTGGAACTAATTCTCTTAGTTCATGTTCATTATAGAATGAACTATATTCAGGTTTTGAATCCATGGAGGGAATTTTAGAACACATTCTGTAGCTTTCCTTCTTTTGTATCTGCAATTTTGCCAGATGTCAGCTTCGTCAGCTTATCTTCAACTCCAGAGAATATGATGGCTACCTGCTCCTCTACTGCCATGGGGACTGCAAAGATATATCATAAACATAA